CCCCTTATCATTTTCAATTTTCAGCAAAAAAATCATTTTTGTCCATTTTATTTAAAACACAAGGCTAACCCCTTGCCATTTTCATTTTTCAGCAAAATTTCATTTTCGCTCATTTTAAATAAAAATACAAGGCTTACCATTACAATTTTTAATTTTCAACAAGAATATATTTTTTCCCATTTTAATTAAAAAGCAAGGCTAACCCCTTACCATTTTGAATTGTGGCAAAATTCATTTTTGTCAATTTCTAGTAAAAATGCAAGGCTTAACCCTTATCCTTTTCAAGTTTGAATAAAAATTGATTTTTGTCTATTTTTATAGAAATTCAAGCCTAACCCCTGACCCTTAATATTCAGCAAAAATTCATTTTCGCTCATTTTAAATGAAAATGCAAGGATTACCCGTTCCCTTTTGAATTTCCAGCAAAAATTCATTTCTTTTAATTTTTATCAAAAATATCAGGCTATCCCCTTGCCATTTTGAATTTTCAGCAAAAATATATTTTGGCTCATTTTTACAAAAAATATCAGGCAATCCCCTTACCATTTTGAATTTTCAGCAAAAACTCATTTTTTACCATTTTAATAAAAATACCAGGCTAACGCCTTACCCGTTTGAATTTTTAGATGAAATTCAATTTTGCCCATTTTCAAAAAAGCAGGCTTACCACTGACCATTTTCACCAAAATATTCAGTTTTGCCATTTTAATAAAAATACAAGGCTAAACCCCTTAAATCTTGAATTTTCAGCAAAAATTCATTTCGCCCATTTTAAATAAAATTCAAGAATTACCTCTTAAAATACTCTTTTGAATTTTGAAAAAAAAATACTTTTTCCCATTTTAATAAAAATGAAAGGCTTCCCCCTTGAATTTTTGAATTACCAGCAAAACTGTTTTTTTCCCAATTTTAATAACAATACAAAGCTAACAAATACCCTTTTGAATTTTGACTATAAAAGAAGTATTTTTTGCTCATATTTTGATAAAACTGTTTTGTAAGACTTCCATAATAAAAAATATAAAAAATACAATAAAAATAAAATTAAATTGGATAAATTTTTTAAAAACATGAAATAAAAAACAAAAATCATGAAAAATGAAATATCAAATAGAGAACTTTTGGCAGTCGTTGAATTTTCAAGAACTTTACTTTCTGTTGTCAACTCTCAGAAGGTGAGTCAAAAAGATGAAATCTGGTACAATAAAGTTCAGTATCATATTGTCATGCCAGTTGTCTGAAATTCTCATTTTAATCATTGGTAAACTAACTAACACTCAGCAGCATACATTGTGATGAAGTCACCAGAAAAACACTTTCATGCTGGCTAAAAATCTGCCTGAAACTCAACATACTGAATGTTTCTCTGAGGTAATAAAATAATCAATTTTAAAGAATATCTTGAAAGAAAAAGTACCAAATATCACACTACAATACAAATTAATGTAACTAATTAAACACAAGTTTAACATTCCAACTATTGAAAACACACAAAAAAGACGGCGATTTCACCCCGGCTTTGGGTTGACAATCATGACAAATGCTTAGTGAATTTTTTACAAATTTATTTCTGTTCATTTAACAGTATATTTAGCGCCAATTACAGGAAGAAGACACTTGTGAAATGTTCAGTTTTAGGGGTGGGAGGAAAACCCAGAATGAATATTCCAGGGAAAACCCAGGGAACCATGCTGACCTAGATGGGACGCGAACCCACGTCGTAAAGGCAGAACATGAGGAAAGAGCCACTTCACCAACTTGACTCCTCAACAGGTGAACAATGCCATGAAGTTCACACAAAGTGTTGTTAAGTTACATGTACAGTAAGAAACTTCCTAAATATTAGCATTCCACAATCACATCAAAAGCACCCATCAAAAATTACCCTTGCGTGAACCTGGTTTCCATGGCTTTTCCATGACTCTCTCCTCTGACAACAGGATTCCAAAACACCCTAATTTGTTCAACTTTTCCATGACTCTTCTGTGACTTTCCAGGACAACTTTTTTTCAGGATCTTCCCGGAACCCATAGATTCATATGTGGCTTGTAGGGGCATACTGTACCACCTTGGATATGCACTTGCAGGTAAAAATGAACTTTTAAGCCCCTCCTTCGAAAAAGAGATGTACATATTGAATGTAAATGTATGTTGTAAATTCCTGACAATCACCTGCGTATTCTGAGTAAGATGCTTACAAGAGAAGGAATGCAGACTACATACAATCAATGAGGGGCACTTCCACACACCCAACACCAACAAAAGTGGGAGATTAGTAAAGTAAAAACAAAAGGTATTGGCATCTTTGACAAAATGCACGAGTAAAAAGAGGCCTCAAACAGTGCCCCATCCAAACTAGTCTAGTGACAGTAAGTCTAGCAATCTTCTGATTATAATTATGATTACTTTACTAATTACAACAATTAATTACAATTTTCTCCACACAGTGCGATCTATGCAAGGGGTTACAAAGATCATACTATTTATTATTTACAAATTATGCAAATTGAATGCCCTTAGACTTTTGCAATGATCCCTGATTTAAAATTTCTCTGATCAAAACCAGGAGTGAGGTACAAAGGGAAACCTGGGAAACTCTCATTTAAGTTGGTGCGTGCAAAGTATGCTTACATGTATGTCTGTATAAAATTAATCATTAGGTAAATTTATGAACAAGTGGGGTTATGGTACCGGTACATGTTGGTCATTATTTCTGCATATTAAACAGATTTCTTGAGGTCCGTTGAATAATATTCAATATTTTGGCACTGCTGATATAGGTTGTTTCCACATACACGTATCCAATTTAAGATGAATTGAACAGCTCTATAGTGGCTGGAGTTTTGCAGTCATTTTTCATACTGTACAATCATACATTTCTCTTTTTAATAAATTTAGAATTAAGTTTAGCACGTCTTTTCTACATTAAACACACTTATGAATCTTCACCTCAATAAACCGAGTAAACAATCACTTTAGAGAATCATCTGAGAATTTCAGATGAGAATCTATTGAAGAAATCACAACAACCTTTTACATTTATAAATTCCCTTACCCCACATGTTAAAGTTCCAACTTAAGATAAAGGGCTCTGCCGTATGACAAGAAAGTGAAACGAAGCAGTCATTAAAAACACCAGAAAACATTTTCCATGCAATTTTATCACCAAAAATGGTCACAATTTCTTCCTTATAATTTCAACAATATGCATGCATATCGGGAGGTATTGGTTTGTTTCTGAATAATCTGTTTCAAATTAAACTAGTTAAATTTTACTTTTGTCTGCAGTAATTATTAATTACTTCATATTAGAGATCATTTTAAGCAATCAACTCATGCTGACATCATGAATGCAAAGCTTTGATTAAAATAAAATGTCTACGACATCACAGCCGAGCAGGTTTTTAAATCATATTCACATTTCTGAATGCCGTCATTATTGTGCTCTTGCATATTAAACATTTGGATTTGTTTCCAAATGTTTTTTCCTGGCAAAAATGTCCCTCAACTATTCTAAAACAACTTTTTGAATTTATGATCATTTGTTGTACTAATTTGAAGACTTTTTATGGAGTCATTAAATGTCAGTCACAATGTCAGCAATTCATATAATGTAAAAGAACTAATATTTTTTATGTGGACACGCAACTCCATATTTATTGTACATGTAGTTTTAACAAAATGTTTTAATGGTTGTATCTATCTTTAAATGTAAAAACATTTGTAATTCGGCCCTTGGCCACGAAGAAAGTTTATAAATAAACCATTTTAATAAAAATAAATACTCGTGATCATGCAGTAACATACACCTGGCCCACATATGAGTTGCTGAATATGCCTCATCAATAGAGGGCAGCATTCACCTTTCATGTGCAAACTAAAAACAACTGCAGCTCACAAGACAAATAAATTTCACATTTCTATGATTTTAGAATGGCTCAAAATACATGCATTATAATAAGCAAAATCAAAGAAGTCCATGTTTACATGTACATCTGTCAAGATGAACAACAATGTCTAAATATGCCGAGTGATCTGCAAATCTCTTTGGAAAACAACTCAATTCCCCACAAGAAATTGAGCTGAGAATTTCAGACCTTTTACATGTATCTGGAGTTCTAACAAGTGGTTCCTTGCAGGTGACATCTTTTGGTTGCAATGAGTATCTCGATTATTTTCTTCGCTTTTTAGACAGTGCCCTTGCGAGGGCTTCTTTGTTTGCTGGACCTTTCCATAACCCTCCAAAAATATCCTTCTCCTTTGACAATGCCTTATCTGGAGGCAACTGTGACGCTGCCGTCACAACATTCTTCATTGCCCGCACGACTTCTACTGGTTGACTTGTGTATTTGTCCAGCCAATCAGATGCTTGCTTGATGATATCATCACCCTGGATGAGGTCATCAGCCAAGCCGAGTCCCAAAGACTCTGTTGCTCGGATCGACTCTCCACCGGCTAACAGTTTCAGTGCCTTCTGGGGTCCAACTAACCGCACCAGTCTAGTGCCACCGCCCCAGCCTGGTGACAAACCCATCTTACAGTGGATGAATTGGATAACTGATGAAGGAGATACCAAACGAAAATCGCAGGCTGTGATAATCTCAGCCCCTCCACCAACAGCACTACCACTCACTGCTGCTACACTGATTAGTGGAAGCTGCTGTAATCTCGTCAAGATGTTCTGCATGAATAAACACATGACTACACCTGCTTGTGGACTGCTCAGAGCTTCTGTCGTCTTCAAGTCAGCACCAGAGCAGAAATTCTTACCTTCAGGGTCTCCATGCAGTATAACAGCCTTACCTCTCTGCCATTTCTCCAAGTCGGCTACTATGTCAGACAAATCTACCATCATAGAGCCTGGAAAGCAATAAGATTTTAAACATTCGTACACTACAAAGCCACCATAACAAACACTCTTATACGGAATAATCAGGTATAGCGAACATGCCCCTTGGCTCCCGAATTTTCAGGGCACTTTTACTGAAACACTGATCGATGATAACTTGAAAGTTAAAGAAAATCTTGCTCACAAAGGAGCAACCATCTGCACACAGGATGGTCCAGATTGTTTGGAGCATACATACATGTATGCATGAATGGGCAACCATGTACGTGAAGACTAGCCATCAAGTAAATGCATGCAATATAGGCGACTGTCACTTCGAAAAAGTTGTTGTTGTTTGGTTACTTAACTTGCAGAAATCTTTGTAACATCAGTTCCCATCATTTTTAACAATTACAGACTTATGTTGCCAACTTGAGACTTGTAACATTGCGACTCCAGTACCCATCAATTTTAGCCAAAGGAACCAGTGTAAACCCTAAGGGACTCAAGGAAATTTGATTTCATTTTGCAATATAATCTCCCCTTACAACCACCCAAAAGGTGAAATAAGGAAAATAATGAATTTCAGAAAATGGCAGGAATTCCAGGTGTATGTATTTCTAACTTGATTTTGGAAGTTTTGGCTCAAAATCCTCATGTACATGTAGAAACATTTGAACAGGCTGGAGCCAATGTACTGGCGACATGGAACTGGATTGTTTAAATGACCCTATCGGTTGTTATCAGAAAACCATTCTATCTTTCTGATAATCGTTTTGGAGAAGGGCATCTCATTTTCATTCATCTGTGAAAAAATCATTACTGGAGAGAAAATCTTGTCAGGTTATTTTACCCTACTTTCAAGCTCTGATTTGAAAACCTTCACAAATAATGCACTCTCAACTTCCCCTAAAGTCAACAAGCATTTTGGATTCATCTTAAATTTTAAAGACAACTCACCAGACATGGCGTTAGCATTTGTCACGTTGCTGATGGTGATGGTAGCCAGGCCAGTCACGTCATTCTTACTGAGGCGAAGACTGCCCCCATTCAGCTCTTTGAGATTGAGTCGTTCCACTCGCTCGTTAAAGACTTCACTGGGCACAAACTCATTTGCGAGGGCAGTGTTACGACGTTGGTCCATATAGTGGCTGTTGGCAGTCTCACTGAGTTTGATCCCAGAGGAATCCGTCTGATAATGAATTGGGCGGTGTCTTAAGCCACTCAGGATGGGGGTGACCTGTGAGCGGAGCTGAAGTAATCTTGACCTCATGCTTGATTGGTGGCTGCCTGAAATATGCTTTCAGATTAGCTGCAGAGAGATTACAAATGCAAGTACCGGTAGACGGGTTGTCACAGAAATCATGACAATAAAATCCTGAGGTTGGATTCTAATTTGAAAGACTAATGTGAGTACACTGATATTTGTTCATATTTCTAGGTTATAAACTATGGAGGACTGCAGCAATATAACAGGCTTTTCAATCACTCCCAAATCACTGGACCCATCTGCAGCTAGTACATGAATTCACATGTCTCAACACATCAACACAACACAACACACTCCTTTGAGGACTACTGGCATATTAAATCTCACATAAAAGGACATCCATTTCTATCAAAATTAACTGCTGCAAGTTCTCAACATACGTGTCAATGTATGTGGCTTTAACCCTAACCAACCTTAATCCTCCAAAATCCCTCCGGGTGGTTTTGGAGGATTCAGGATGAATGATGATTTGAATATTGGAGGATTTTGGAGGATTGAGGATGAATAGTATTTTAAAGGCTGGTGGATTTTAGAGGATTGAGGATGAATGCTGATTTAGAAACTGGACGATTTCGGAGGATTGAGGATTAATGGTGAACGAAGTACTAAAAATCAGTCACACAGTGGTGCATATGGTCACACAATCCTCCACTGCAGTGTGTTAACACAAAGGCACATGTCCGCTTTGTTTATTACAAAAGTAAAGCCATTAGCCAACTCTGCAAAAAAACAGCTCCAGCCCAACAACCAACCTGCTGTGTCCAAACCCCCCCCCCAAAAAGGACAAAAACCCAAACCCAAAGTAGGGCCATGGAGCATTTTGGAGGATTGAGGAATTCATGCAGTTTTAGAAGATGGGAAATTGGAGGATTTGGGAGAATTGAGGATGTGCCCTAGTAAACAGGCCCTAATGGGTTAGGGTAACACAGCTCCTTGTCAATTAGAACTCAAACTGTCATCAGATTGCTTTGAGCAGGAACACAAGTCAAATAATATCTTAAATATCCTAGACTTTCAATTCTTACATGTACATGACTTTTAGAGTGTTATTTACTCTGTAGAAGTTGCCATAGGTTTTGTACAATGTCACACCCACCAGCAAGTTTTTGTTATAAAACAAACATTAATCACTGTTTGTTTAAATTGAACAATGACTTGAACAAATTTCAATTGTCACAATTTCAGGTTAGTTCCTGAAGTGGTTGCAATGTTTGGATTTTAAATTAAATAAGATTTGTATTAAACTGTACATACCTAAGCTGACTGACAAAAATCCTCAGGATTGTTTTTTAACTTGCAGTCAAACACTTTCATTCCTTCCAAACATGATTGCATCATCAGAAATCTTTCAAAAGGTTACGATTTATCATGCTAATGTAAGCCGCCATAGCTCATGATTGCATCATCAGAAATCTTTCAAAAGGTTACGATTTCTCATGCTAATGTAAGCCGCCATAGCTCATGATTGCATCATTTCTTGACAACCTGCCAAGAAACCCAACAAAACTACAGCAGCCAACCTAACATTAAAAAAAACTAGATCAGAAGGTAACAATACATTTGACCTTAGCCCACATGTAACAGGCAATCTGATTGGCTGGCACAAATAGCTAGCGGTGTAGGCCACCCATTTTCCAATTCATAGGAAATCATTTACGCACGCAGCAGTGACTGTAACAACATGTACATGCAAAGGTTACTGGCACGACCTTGTCCTGGGTTCAAGTTGAGAGCACAATATGCAACCAACAACTACCAGTGCCCAACTACACACACCATAGGACTACACTGTACATATGTTGACTCAGCCAGGTAAAATCAGAATAGGTGAGGCAACCATACAAGGTTATGGAAATATTTGTATACAAATGCATTAATATCTACCCCAAAAAAAACATTTGAATGATGCAACTACTGCCAACCAAAATGCCATTGTGCTTTTTTTCTAAATGATCCTCTTCAGAAACTTATGTACAGTCTTTCTGCTCATTGAAAGGGTGACTTATACTTGTAGGAGCTGCTATATAGTAGGAATCTTGGAGGAGTTTATACTTATTTTTTTACCCCCGAATTAGGGCTACACTTCCAAAGTCATGAAAAATTTACATCAGGCCCCATGAAGCCTAATATGAAGCCACACATTAAAATGCCTACAGGTCACATCAATTTTAACCAGTCAAATGTCTCTTACGTGGGATTTGATTGAAATGTAAAATAAAATAGTCCAACGAAAAAAAAAAAAAGAAATACATGTAACATTTAACACCCACACTCATGATTTAACAAAACATTTTAGGATTAAATCAAGCATGATGGATTGGGCCCAGGTTGAATTTACACAGAACTGAGGCTCAATTACAATAATCATCAATAGGACCTAACCCAGAACATAACACTGTTTCCTGTTTCTCACTTTCAGAATTTGTGAAGTTGAATCTTACCATTTACCTGGAAAGTACCCCTCAGCTCTGATAAACTGAGAGTCCAGCAGCAGTGCCCCTAGATGTTTGGACTTTTTTAAAGAACAAACTAGGCCCACCACAGGAAGTTCGAGTTACATGTAGCCTACTGTACATGCAACCCTCATTAAATATAACGGGCTATCCACCATGATTACACTTTGCACTATACTGTACATGTGTACACAAGTAACAATACAATGACATCCAGCTGGTCATATTTGCACAATGCATAAATGCAACGCTGGTCACGTCTCGAGCACGTGCACTTTGTTTACATCCTCCACTTGCTGACCAGTACAGTCAACCACCGCGCCGCGATCACCCATCACAGTCCATATTTTTTGTAAGTTTGGAAAGTCAGCCACTTACCTTAAGACGTGAAACGTCCTCCCTTGCACCCTCTGTTCAGCACCTATATGCAGCATAAAAATACTCGTCACAGAAAATGAGTGAATCTCTTCGTAGCTAGTCTTCGAGCATACATACAGCACATACAGACCATACTGTTTGTGTACGTGTATATGTATGCGCGACATGCGCGCTTGGCCGGCAAGCATGCATCATGCATATTCAATCGTAGATTAGTCTGGTACCAAGGCTATTCCAGTGCATGAATCTATTGATACCAGACTAGTTACTATCCAAATTGTATATTCATAAATGAAATGTATTGTTTTGTCACGAAATACATGTAGATCTCCTTTCCAAGTCACACCAAGGGTAGAAATAAACACATACTGCATTTATTGTTCACAATTGGTATGAAACAGCGGCCTCGTAATTTCTTTGGATAAAAAGTTTGATTGCGAAAGCATAAAGGCCAAACATTTGTAACGCGTCCAGTGATTGGTCAGATGCTGGAGACATGGCGCGCCATATTGACTGATCGCGCGAACCCGAAAGTTTTTGATGTGCCTTGCTCGCGTAGGCTAACGTCCAATTTCATCAACTTGCCTTCACAATTTAACGTTTGATTGGGGCTGTTCCAAGTACAAAATGTGGAATAACCAAGGAGGTATCTGTTCTGTACCTTTGATATCATTTTTAATCGCAGAAGTTATGATCATATAGTTCATCATGTATAGTTTGACTTTGTCGTTCATAATCATGTCGTTCGGGGTCTACAGTTTTGTTCACGGTACAAAAGCTAACCTGTACATCATGTGTCTTCAATTACGTGTGCGTACTGAGACATGACGTGTCATGTGTTAGGTACAATCCTGTATGAATCGCCAATTTTACTTCCCTTTTTTGAAACAGTTTTCCTCAACCATGAATTAGAACATGTAGAAAGGACCTAGGCCTGGCATGCCTGGGGCAACTCCTCAGTCAGACACGAGATTTGTGCATAGGCAGTAGAGGTTCAATTTTCCCTCTGGTCCAATATACTCACTTAGTTTTATTTGTAGGTTTTACCCAAGAATATTTCAAACAAATGTAGTGGGCCTTCAACATGTTTAAAATGAAGCATGTTAAATCAAGGCTAGAAGCCGGTACCGGTAGTTTCATTGTGTGTACTATGATAGGTCAATAGGGGCCTTCGGATTCATTTACTGTTTGACATGATGTATTTACAGGCTCATATGGAGGTGGATTCAGCGACCATGGGGGTCAAAGCAGCCAAGCAGGGGGCTACTTCAACTCTCCAGGTAACATGGGACAAGTTGGTTCACCATCTACAGGAGGACCCAAGGTACCAGACCAGCCAGACGTCAACTCTAGTTTGACTAATATAAATACATGTACATTTTTGTGCCTGTGTTCATCTGTCGTACTAATTATTATCAACAAGTGGTTAATCTTTGTCAGTTAAGTTTCATTGGTTTTTCTCTTCTTTTTTATCTTTTTTTTGGGGGTCATCTTTTAGGCTAAGCGAGCTCAGAACCTGATCCCCTGCACCATAGCACAGGTCCTGCAAGCCACACAGGTTGATGAGCATTTCAAGATTGGAGAAGTGGAGATTAATCAGGTGAATCTTCAACAAAAATACTCCAACTCGTCATTCACCTGTTTCTTTAATTAGCAGTTCAATAATTAGCAGGAATAATCAATTTTCCCAACAGGTGTCCATCGTTGGTCTGATTCGTCAGGTGGAAATAGCAGCCACAAACATTTTGTACAAAGTGGATGACAGAACAGGTCCCTTGCTTGACATTAGACAGTGGATCGATAACGATGTAAGTTGGAGACAGATAAGAATTTTACTAGACCAATATCAGAATTACTGTAAGAATTTCAGTGTCATAGATGTGCACATCCTAGGAAGTACCTGGGAAGAGGTACATAGCGAAAAAAAACAGTGAAATAGCTCCTTTTGACAGTAATTTTGGCATGTGTACACCACAGGGCCATAATATTCACACATATGAGAATTGATTGTGTTCTGTCAAACAGGAAAACACACCAGAGGAGTTACAGCCTCAGGTATATAGTGAGAACACATACATCAAAGTCATTGGTAACATTCGTACGTTTGGCGGTAAGCGAAGCATCTCTCCATTCAAGATTAAACCCCTGACTGACTTGAATGAGTTGACCCTACACATGTTGGAGACAGTCCACACACACATGCTGCTTACCAAGAGAAAAAGTCTGGTAAGTAAAAGACTTGATGGTCAGAGCTAAAAACTTGAGAATCCCACATCCGTGAACAAAGATGAGACAAACTTTCGTGGCTCAAAATCATTTGGCAAATCAAAGTGGCAATTCCCCTTGAAAAACTTACGCCACAAATTTCATGAAAACTACATCAAGACATTTTTTTTTCACTTTCAAGTCTTTAATGACTCAAAGCAAAATTTCATGCACTTTGACACTAAACAGCTAGCGGTCTATTTTCTTCCTTTCTGTTACAACTTTACTCAGTACTTTCCTTAGTTCAAATCTTCTTTTGCTTTGTTTTATTTTTCAGGGAGCAAGTACAAGTGGAACCTTTGGTACTCACCAGTTCATGACGCCCTCCAAGGGTGGAATGGCTAGTACATCTGGCTATGGAGCTGTCACCACAGCTAATGGGCTGAACAGTGTACAAGCAGAGGTGTGTAACTGAATATGGTAGTTGCTTTTTGGCCCCTGAGCAGGACCAACAGAGGCTCCTTTGGTGGAAACTTCACTGGTTCATGAATAACTATGAAATGTATGCGTTAAGTATGCATCGTTATCAACACAATGAACCCTCCCAGCAGCACCGCTGTTTTCAACCGATGAGGGGATGCTTCTGCTCAAGGCAGATAATGCTTCTAGTGGCCTGCCCAGTTGTTGAAATAAATAGTCGCATCAAATTTGGGTAGTTTGTCTTAGGATTCAATTTTGAATCACTTCATTACCAATCACGTCCAAATAAGTAGTTTCTGTGCCAATTTTCTCTCTTCACTTGGCAGCACTTTTCTGTATTTCCATTCTTGTTGGCACAGGTGCATAGATTGATCACAGCGTGTCCAGACGATCAAGGTGTGAGCATCAACTTCCTTGCCACTAGCCTGAAAGGAACACCCTACAACAAAATCAAGTGAGTAAACAGTGAGGCAAACAGGAGGACAAGATACAAATAGGGTAGGGGACAAGGTGACAATAACATGTATATCAAGGGTAAAAGCTAGAATAAAGTTAAGACAAGAGTCAAGAGTGTTGACATTTGAGTGCCAAAGAAGTATAATATACACTCTAAAAATGAAAGGATTGAATGTTTGCCAAAGTAATCTTTTTTTTTTAATTCATTTCAGAGATGCCTTAGAGTTCCTGAGCAATGAGGGTCACATTTACTCCACAATAGATGATGACCACTTCAAGTCAACTGACGGTTGAAAGTTCTACCCATTAAATTCAAACCTTCCATCCAGAAAATTGTTACTGCGCTTCCTTTTTCCCCTTCTCTCTTTGAAGTATTCCTGGTGTTTTTACAGTTATGCCCCAGGAATGTTCTTTTTGGACGGACATACCAGCAACAAGATGTCATTTTTAAATAGCCCCTGTACACAGCCTGCTGTTTCATCTGAATAATGGATAATAAGTATTTGTGACTTATATTTATGCACACATTAAATAAATAACATCAAAAGTTTCCAGACTACATGTGAATGTCTCCATTTGGAGTGCTTGTGTTACAGAGAACAGCAATAAAGGCTTTGCATGGTAGCCATCTTGAAGGACAGTTCTTTTGTTCCACAGGTAAACCTTTGTTCATACCCTTTTGAACAAAACTGCCCTGTAAGATGGCTACTATACAAAGCTTCTATACATGTGTTTTTTCCTATAAAAGAATACTGAGAAAGATTCAGGTTGTCCAATTGAACATTACTAACATGCCAGGTTTTACAGACTTCCATTAATCGTACTTTGGACAGTCGCTAGTCTTGTGCATCAATGCTTGTTTTCTCCTTCTTTTGTTTATACTGTGAAAATTGTTTGACTTCAAGTCCTCCACTGGTTACCCTGGAGGAAAATACCTTTTCCATTCCATTTTCTATCAAACTGATTACACCTTGTTAATCAGATTTAGTTGAAATGTTAAAGTAGAATTTCCTTTAGCAATAGTACTGCAAAAGCCATCGGGCAAGTTTTACATAGAGTAAGCATTTGAGATTAAAACTGCACCAAGTTTTCCAAGTGCTAGGAAAAACCCAACGTTTGTAAAGATTTGCCTTGGCCTTTTCTGGGAAATGTTGATTTGGTTTTTGTTGTGTATCAATCATGCTTGTACATTACATGCCAGATGTTTCAGAAGTCTGCTTTCCTCGTTAACAAAATGGGGTCATTTGTGAGAAGTTACGTCATCTTTATACTTGTAAAAATGATGTTTCACAAATTGGATATACACGTATAACCTAATAAATGTAAACCAAACTCTGCTTTATAAATGAAAGCTGCATGTTGATTTATTTTGTTGTCAATTTATGAAAACTAACACAATGTAACAATGTTCCCACTGTACAGTGTTTGAAACACTGACAGTACAGACATCTATACCATTTCATCTAAAACCAGAAATATATAAAAGTGATGCTAACTGAAGAAGAAATCACTGGCTAACAATTGGGGCTAACCTGAATAGAATAATTGACGGGCATTGAATTGTGTAATATTTCTTAGTAGGAAAGAGGTATACATCTGAGTAAACTGTCGATTGAATTATGTAAAACATGCATCAAAAGGGTTATAATTAGTTTTACATTTCTTTCTAAAAATGACATCATACATGGTCCTGTTAACCATTTCTACAAATATTTAATTAAAATTGCAAACAAAACCAACAAATGACTAACAGTTGTGTGTACATGTTTCAGGTTCCTGGAACCGATGAGTGACAAACGACAGGTTTATTCCAACGTTCATTTTAATCTTAGTTTAAATATCCATTATCAATTAAAATGGTCGTACACTGACAGGTTCATTTTAGTCAGAAATTAGTGTGTGCTTGATTGTCAACTACCTGATACCAATCAGGCTGGAATACAGTCAAATTCAGTGGCAAAACAAAAAATAATGTTTGGTGTCCTGGCTGTAATGCGTGCACATTAACTACTGCTGAATGATTGATACATATGTAACTAAGACTAAATATTTATTGCTTGCTTAAATCAAAAAATATTTCACAGATGTGAGCTGAATTCTCAGACATTTTATCAACATTTCATATGATCTTAAATGTCCTCCAGCTCATAAATATAAAATGAAGATGGAACGCTGACCTGCACAAATCACCAGTTCTCAGCGACACTGAATGCTGATAGGCTACAAAATTTATCCGGATAATTGCATCCAATGGAAAATGTCGTCTTCTTGACATAAGAGTTGTTAATGTGAAAAGGTGGCAAAATAAATTATTCATAGGTATTTTATGCAAAGAATGAGCCGTTGTAAAGATTACAAGTTAACAGGAATGAAAGACCATTCTTCATTAGTTCATCCCATCTGAGCGAGGAGAACCAAAAAGTAAACTGGAAAAATGACTTTGTTTACTTTTCCCCATGCTCAGTTGCTGAAAGCTGGTTTGTAAACAAGCAAAGTAAACATGAAGATCCAGAGTCCCATCACCAAAACCCAAGCCCTCCTTAAAATGAATAGGGAGCTTAAGATTGAAAAATGTCATGAAGTTGTCAGCAGGTGTCTTATTTTAATCATTCTGCTTTCTCCCCATGGATTCCAAGCATGGACAAGGTCTTCTTGTTTTAACCAACGACAACATACCACTGGGCCAACATGTTACATTGGCACACTGGTTTGCAGGTGAAAAGTGTGGAGTATTCACAGAAGTAGATGTAATTGGATTCATATGCACAAATCACGGGAGTCTGTGGTCTTGCACCACGAGCAAGGTATCAGCCTAGCTCATTTCTTCACTACTGAGGGGATTTCAACATGGAGGCCATGTCATTTTAATGATTCTCTAAGTATTTCAGTAAGAATCGGCTAAAATTAAGAATTTAGTTAAAAACACAAGGAAAGAATACATCCTGTCCTGAAATAGCATACTCCCTGAAAGCTTAAGGTTTAGTATCATTTACATTAAATTCTACACTGAATAGTTCTGAAAATGAATGGAATCTGCGCAACAAAAGGAAACAATATCGTCAATGCTGGGCTTCAGCTCAAAGTAATCGACTTGTAATTTACATAAAAGGTAACTTGAATTGACTGGAAAATCATCCGGTATAAAAAAAAGAGAACATCTGCAAAATAAACGGCTTGGAATCTCCGCAAACATTCTTCCTGATACGAGGTAAAATGGTCCCCAAATTAGTTTTGTGCTTTGCCAATTGTCATTATCGAGTGAAACGCTGAACAAGATAATTAGTTGGGAAATCTCACTTTGCAAGATTGAGTACGAAAATCATCAGATATCAATAAAATTTCTTCTTGTAGCCTTTAAAGGTTGAGGGAGAGTAAAGAACATTGCCAATATCATCTGCTTCTGGTGTTCCACAACTGATCACTGGACTTTACAGTACCACTTGGTTATTCAGACTGGCCCATTTTTCAACATCCGGTCGGTTGTTGAACAGTACGTCAACAACTGTTGAGTCTGCCATGGTACTAACATCACCCAGATCCCTGTCGTTACGAGCTATCTTACGCAGAACACGACGCATGATCTTCCCTGAGCGTGTCTTTGGCAGGCCAGGAGCATTCTGGAGAACATCAGGGGCTGCGAAGGGACCGATTTTGATACGAACTAAAGAAAAACAAACAAAACTTCTTATTTTTATCTAATTATAAAAATCCCTGTATCAAGAAGAAAATGAAACATTTATGGTCATCAGTTTGTGGTACAAAGAGGTACTTCATTTGAACTCAATGTCAATGTAACAAGTCAAAAGCCTAAAGTCAAGTTTCATGTTGCTTTAAGCCTAGGGTAGTTACAGTTAGACGTCATTTGGACATTTTTTATCTTAATTGAGACTGTTTTTTGAGGTTAAACTCCTGCATTTAGATATTAACTTATTACTGTAAGAAACTTGGACTTCAATAATTGATCCAGATCTCCTTACCTAGTTCTTTAAGTTCGTGAATAACCTGCTCCGTAAACTCAGCTCCCTGGAAGAAAAAAATCTCACAATGAATGAGTTTCATGCATTCAATTCATAAAATTTTCGTAACATCAGCTCTTTCTCAAGAAGGAAAGGCACCACTTACTCACGTGGACTCATTACTGGCTGGTCACTCCTAATCCTTACCTCAATGAGGGTGATGAAGCAGTAACAACATTCTCCCTTAGTCTTGTGAGGGTAAGATACAACGGCTGCCTCAGCACATTTTGGATGTTCCGTCAAGGCAGCTTCAATCTCAGCTGTGCTCAGTAGATGACCAGAGACATTAAACATGTCGTCAATCCGGCCAGTGATCCAGAAGTAACCATCTTCATCCCGTCGACAGCCTGGCAAAACAGTTACTCCAATTTGTTCAATCTTCAAATTCTAGTCTCAAGAATTTATTGCTCGAACATAACAATGATGATGACTGACTGGTTGAGAGATTAGTTTTAAGATCAACATGTTGATTATAAAATAATTTATTTATCAGCCAAGCACAGGCCAAACAACCTATTCTGCAATGAATTTTCCTCAGTGGTAGGAGAGAGGCTTCTTAAGACCTGCAGTTGAGGAATAACATCCTCAAACAAAGCTGCATTGTTGAATAAAACGCTAGAATCTTACCATCTCCAGTCTTGTAGTAGCCAGGGAATTGTCTGAAATATGTCCTCTCATATCTCTCATGGTCCCCGTACACTGTCCTCATTACACCTGGCCAAGGCTTCTTGAAGACCTATCAAAATTAAGGGGGAAAAAAACAAATTGGCAGAAATCCAAAAATTACAAATTTGCTTGGCACATTTCTAGATGCAAGGATTACCTCCTTGGTAACCTCGTAAATTTATGATATATTTCAGTTAAACATACCTGGCATTACTGTCCTTGTTAACTATTGTTGAAATCACACATCAAGAATTTGACATCATTCTTTAGATTCCAATGGCAACAGAATTTCTACCACTTGGATCTTTTGAACAATTTACTTACCAGGTATCCTTCACAAACTCCTTCGAGTTCTTTACCCTCCTCATCAACGACTGCCGGATCAATGCCAAAGAACGGGAAAGACTATCAGCAAGAAAATAAAAACAACCAATGATCTCAAAACAATGTGTAGGACAAGAAATACTGGTACATGAAAAAAACGTTTCATTCAAGTAATCAGCTCAAAATTGTCTGATTTCTTTCACTAAAGTGAATTCTTGGAGTAGGTAGTAAATTATTAAGTTAACTTACAGCAGCTCCTGGCTTCATCGGGGTGCAACCTGGGAGAGGTGTGACGGTGTGTCCACCCTGAACAGACACACACACAAAATGGGGTCAAGAAAATAATACAATCAGTTTTTAAAGCCAAGCATTTTTCTCCCAAGAGTCAACAATAGTAAAGGCAACACAGTCTGCTGAGAAATAAAACTACAACATAATCATGGCAACATTTAAGAGCACTGAAAGTAGGAGTTCAATACTGAGTCAATAGCAGAGACATTTTAGCCATCACAGACCTCAAGCTCAGAGCCTCAAGCTGGACCAAGAGAGAGTGCAATTGTCCAAGCAAAGGAGGTACCATTGGTCAGAACTTTACTTAGTTAGTTCATAAACAACTACAAAATCCATGTGTTACAGTCGCATCACTACCAACAAAATAAACACTCCCAACCAAAATGGCTCTTTTCAACTGATGAGGGGGGTGCTTCTGATAGTGTGCCTAAAAGTCCCTTGTATTCGGTTTCTCACCGTTTCTGTCTGCCAGAATGTGTCACTGATGGCACATCGACCGTCACCGATGACATGATAATAGAATAACCAAGCTTCTGGGTTCATAGGCTCCCCTACGCTGCCAAGAACCCTCAGAGACTTACGGCTGTACCTACAAGGAACAGTAATTCCAAAACTTGACTTTTTATATGCAATTTGTTAACTTTTGCCAAAGCCTATCCAAAACTCTAATTTCCGAACGTGTCAAAACTTAGATTCTGTCATCAAAAACACATTAAAAAAAAAAGGTTACAGATATTTTTACAAAAAGTAAAGTACTAATCAACTAATTCAAGTCAAATGACTTACTTCTTCACTGGTTCCTTGCCATACTTCATTAGACTGCGTACCAGTGTGGGCGCCGTGTAAAACAAATTGACTTTGTACTTATCTGTTATCTGCCAACATCGTCCAGCATCTGGGTAGGTAGGGATACCTTCAAACTATACAAACGACAAAGACATAACATACCTTGTTTGTTTGCAAGTACAGGTATTTAAGATCACAACCAATATTACAGAACACTGAACATAAGGCTCAGGTAAGAAGACAGTTTGTTAACCAATTACGAATTTAGAGACAGGTATTGCAGGTCAAGTGAAGCAAAAAGATCCTTCAAATGGGTTATCATCACAGACATATAAACACATAGACCACAAACGTGATTTTGAAAAGCGATGGATAGCAGCAGGTTCAGTGCGAGTTGCGCGTGACACACACTGGTAATGCATGTATTTATGTACATGTGCTCTCAAAGTACGTTCCCTTTTTTACTCTTCGGTACTGCTACATGTATCTCTTCTCTTCAAAAGTTGCAACCGCATTGTTTCAAATCTGCATGGGCCAGATTAAGTAAATAGAGGATTTTTTTCACAGTCGAAATATGGCTTTATCATAGAATTTTATGGCTTGAATTCTTCAACTGTGTGTAAATTCCCTACACTGAGGGGTGAATTTGCCCACGCTTTTGAATGGTCGCTGTTGTTTTGAAAACAAGCTGTCTGTCTATGGGTTTACGCATCTGTGGTTATTACTAATTGGTGACAGCGCCCTCTCTTGTCAAGCATGAAATCTACATGTATTGTAATGCCAGTGTAGCAATACATAACTCCAGGTAAAGTGAGAGATTACCAACATAAAATGCCTTTGTAGCAGCAACATCACCAACTTCCAACATTCTGAAATAATGGGTGCGTTGGATTAACTTCCCTGAATACACTGAGATTACGCACAATGGAAGCCTTGAAATGAGGCTAATTGAATGCTACGGTGTAGTAGCCTAGGCATTCTGGGAATAAGTTTGCTACCATGTTTACTCAAAGTACAGTCTGTCGATGTCTGTGACGTCAATACACGTGGGCAGCCACCAGAGACCCACTCACCACCTGGGGTGGTGGTGGCTGACACCAGGGCAGGCACAAAGATCACGTGATGGCTAAACGAACACACCCAAAGTTATTTATCTTTGATGTCATTCAGTCCATGCTTACCATGACGCTTGTTGCTCCATTGGCCATAGGTCCATACACGACATACGAATGCCCTGTAATCCATCCAATATCAGCTGTACACCAGTAAATGTCGCCCTCATGGTAATCGAACACATACTTGAAGGTGGTAGCCGCGTACAACATGTACCCCGCTTGCGTGTGGAGGACACCTTTTGGTTTGCCAGTCGAGCCACTAAAAAGTTAATAAACCATGACAACAAGTGTATTGATAATTAATTGATCAGCTCTGAGATCAAGGGGTCAACTATCAACGTTATGGAGGACCCAAGCAGGCAGTAAAAAGTGAGACTGTAGCAGGACATTATGCCATAACTCTAGCACTATTTTGCAGAGTGGTGGTCAAGTCTGTCCCAGTCCCTGAAAGTCCACAACAAAGTCATCCAGTCTTAAGCCAAGTCTCAAGCTCTTCAAAAAGCATTCCTTTGCCACTGTTCACCCTGTTAATTACCCAGTGGGATAGGTCTTGTGAAAGGACTTGAGACTGGTTTTGTGACGGACTAGAATATAACACTATTATTTCAAGGTATGAACGTACTAATGATTGGCCATGCATTGAGATTGCTGTTAACCCCAATGATTTTACGTCATTTTTTCCTCGGGAGTTTAAACAATAAACATGCTTTTCCTGTGCTTACTTTTCAACAGTCTTGATGGAATAGATGAAGGCTCTGTTGGCATGAAGCTATCAGTATTGATCCAATGCGCATGCACATGTAGGTCATCAAAGACCTCTACGTCGCTAGATTTTCCTTGCTCTCATGCCCTTCAATACCAATTTTCATTTGAAAGTCATCTGCTAAGGCAATTTAAGATGTGGGTCATTCCATGAGGTTGGGGCACAAATTGTGACGGTGTCCGTTGTTACGTGGGTTCTGTAAAAATGAACAGCTTTTTCCCTGCATGCGGATTCCAAATTATACATCTTAGAAGGCTGAATACAGAGGTGTGTGTTACTTTTAGAGAGTGCATGACTTACTTTACAGGTCATGACAGGTGGTAAAAGTTACCCATGTAACAAGGACACTGTCACAAATAGTGCCCCCACCTCATGGAATGACCCATATGTGTTGTACCTTGTGTAGAGCATGAACAGAGGTTCCTCCACCTCCAACCACACTGGATCGCATTCATCACTAACTCCTGTCATGATATCATGCCACCAGTGGTCACGACCTTCCACAAAGTTAGTCTGTCCATGAACAAGGTCAAAAACAGTCACCAGTGATTGATGATGTCAAGATGGTGAATCAGTTACCTGCTATGAAGCTTTCTGGTTTTGGAATTAGTCGGGTGACCATGGGTAAGCTCAGTAGACTTGCCTTCAAGTTTAACCTTTGAGAACTTTTTACTCAAGATCTTACTAAGACCTGATAATAAAGTAGTTGACAACACTACATCAATTTGTTTTAGTGTAGGGGGAGGGGTAAAATGTACAGCGTAAGATTCTGTGTTCAAACTAGCTTACTTTTAAACTCATGCACGGTCTCTTAACTCCTTGATCACTGCTAGGTATCTCTCTAGTTGGTGTATTTGGACCAAGATGACGTACAAGGACAACAGTCTTCACGACAAAGCTCCTGATATTGATCAAAAATAAATCAAACACAACAACTTACTCAAATGCTTAGTAGAATAAATTTCATAATGGAGAACACATTAAATCCTACAAGTTTAAACACAAAATCATGTTTTGAAATCACACTTGACTATCACACAATGAATACATACATCGCTAAGTGATTCATTAAGAAGCCATATTCAATGTTTCACACTATGAGACCACTTAATTTTGCAGGACACCCCTTTTATCTTCATCAAATATGGTTACTATGGCACCAACATGGTTACCAATGTCAGTTGCTATGGTTACTACATACAGCTACCACTTAACATTGTAAATGTTGTTTACATACCGGTAATCTGTAAGTTGGTAAATGTTAACAAGGATGTGGTTGGTTGAAAACATTTTCATTGTAACACTACACAACTGTCATATCAGTCATTCTCCATAATTTGGAGCAACAAATTGTGGTCGACCGTATCAAATGATGCACTAAGTAAAACCTGTTTGTTACCCATATTTTGAAACACATCAGTAGTAATTCTACAAAGCATGGTTTTTTATGCTGTGAAACTGCCTATACGCTGATTGAGTTGCCGGGAAAAGATTGTTCTTGTGCATATGAACAGTGATTTGATCTGCAGCTATACGTTCCACTAATTTTGAAACGAAGCACAAATTACTGATTGGTCTGAAATTTGACAAGTCGGCACCAGCTCCACATTCTTAATCAAAGGAACAACCACGTTATTTTTCCATTCAGCAGTAAATACACCATTTCTGAAGGAACAATGAGCCATAGATGTAATGATAGGAAGTAAAACATCTATACATTCCTTAAACAACCACATTGGAATGGGATCACTAATATAATGTTTAGAAGGAGCTTTCAGAATAAAACACTTGACCAAATTAGCAATAACAGGTGCCGAACAGTTGCATTTTCCACCAGCCCCATTCATTTTGCATAAAACGTCATCTACAGGAACCTGACTCTCCAAATCATCCCGATTAAATTTTAATGATTTTATCAATGAAATGACAATTAAAGTCATAAGCCAGGTCACCTTCAAAGGAACAAGTCAAAATTCATCGCTACTACTTGGCTTCAGCAGAAAATAAACAATGCCATGTAACTCTGTAGGAGTTAATGTATAAATCAAAGGACAGCAATTGCAGAAAAAGACGGTGTAAATGAAAACAGTGGAGTGGGGGGGGGACATTTTGATAAGGTGGGGAAATGGCAACCTATACCTCTCCTCCGAGCATGATGGCAAATGAAAACAGGTCAGCATTTCAACAGATCCTCTAAAAAACATGATTTGCAAAAGAATTTAAGGGCTAGGGTGAACTCAACTGAAGTTTGTAGAATGATAACATAATCTGAGACAATTTCTAAAATGTCCAATTGCTTTCCCAGACAATGTTTCCCATTTTAGTTTAAATGTCATTTTTGTAGAACAAAAATATATACTTGAACAACGCATAATATAATCTCAAAGCAGACATTTAGGTCCTCTTGGCTAACAAGACCTACAACAATGCTTCCGTACTGCATGATACATTGTTAAAGTGTTACCATAGTTACGAAGCATGATCTAGTAAACCTCTGTAGCGAATTATTTAGCGTCAGTGGTCGTTAGAGGAACGCTTTGGCAATTACAGTCTGCTAGCTGGACCCATTATAAATTAACATGATAGCTGGTGTACGGTAATTGCCTGGGCTTCATACCAACAGCCAAAAAGAACTGAGGCATGCAGTGGACAATGGTACTTGGATGCGAAATACAGTTTTCAGAGGTTGGCAGCGCGCGATATTGCAGTATATTATGTGTCACTTTCTTTCAAAGCAAGACCAATGGCTGCACAAGATGGCATTCAGTGAAAACTAGCGGCTTTGATCCATCATCACCATGTGGTCCTGCTGCTCATTAAAAGCAAATAGCACTTAAAGTCAACCAACAGGAAAACACAGCTGGAAATTAGCTGGACAAAGTGGAGGAATTTCACATGAAGAGAACAGTCACGGGACAGTTTACAATATTTTGCACAGGGATGTCATTGCGGTGTGTAACAAAGTGATGACGACGTTGATGACACAGACAAGATTAATGCAGACCTTCAGCCAACTGAACATCAGACAGATGAAACTGGTACGGGAGAGATTTAATGGAAATTTGGATAAAGCCTGAAAGAGTGAAAAGGAACGGCTCCATCCAGGAAATGACTTAAAAGAAATAAACCAAGAAGCAACTGTAACTAAGGAACTTCAATGTACCTTGATTTACGAGTTTTGCAACTCCAGGCATTAACAGATGAATTAAGTTGTCAGGCCAAATACATGTATGATATACCAGTGCTTATGTAACTGATTCTGTTGAAAAATTATACCAGCTGCAACATCAAGATCTGGAAGTAAAAAGACTGTTTTTGCTGGAACATCAGGAGTTGCATCATCCTTGCTAATAACTTTTCGAAACTGGCCACTACAATTACAGGATCTTTGTAAAAGAGGAAAACCTTTTACCAACTGAAGACTTAAAACCCTGCTTTCTTCTACACGTAAAAGAGTGTTTGTGATAACACAGACATAACACTTTGAAGGAAATCTGCCAGAGACTGCGATACGAGACTCATCATGGGGAACAACACAGATGAAGAACCGCTCTCGCCATTTTTGATTGCTCTACGGACATGTTTCGTTGCAATCGTTGTTATCATGATCATAGCAGGCAATGCACTGTCTATTGCTGTGACACGCAGCATGCCAACACTTGCTGACAGCACCAAACTTTTGATGGTATCGCTAGCAGCGTATGACATGTTGACTGGTGTTATTTCCATCCCAAATGTCATTGCATCGGCATTCAATACTTGGCCATTTGGGAAGCTGTACTGTTCCATCAATGGCACAGTAGATGCAACTTGTTGTTGTATGTCTATCACGCTTATAGTACTAATGAATGCTGAGAGATACATAGCTGTCACAATGCCTTTCCGATTTTCGACCCTCTGCTCCAAACAACGAGTAATCACCGTTGTTCTCACGGCATCCATTGTATCTCTGGCCCTTCAAATCTGTCTGACTTATTTCAAAGAAATCAAGATTCAATTTGAGGCAGTGCTAGTTTGTGATGTTGGATTTAACGGCACCATCTATGAGATCAGTGTCTTGTTCTTTCTCGTTATAATACCCTTGGTTGTCCTGACATATATCTACCTGAAGTTGATCAAACTCAGTCAGAATCATGTTGTGATGTTGAACAAATCTAAGAATGTAGAGAATGAGAATAGTTTCCTTGAGAACAAAGCCCTCCGTGCGTTTTTGGTTGTGACTATTCTTTTTGCCATCTGCTGGACACCACTGCGTGTAGTACGTATCATCGCAGCCATAACCGGCGAAACACAACCCACCTGGCTAACATTTACAGCCAAGGGGTTTGCTGTCTGTAATAGCTTCTTCAACGTGTTCATCTACTGTTTCTTCAATCGGTCCTTTCGGCAAGCCACTACACGACTGATGGCACGTTATTTCTTGTGCCCTAAAGCCTCTGTAGCTCCAGTGACCCCACTAACAATCAGAGATGAGACAATGAAACCAATTGTGCGTCGTAAAGGAAAGCCAACACTCATTTCTGTGCAGCTCTGACTAAACAAATTAAGCATCACACAAGGAAAAACTCAAAGCAAAGTACGATCAATTCCAAACAAGCTTTGCTATGAACGCTGCAAATAAAAACAAGTGACCAATGGCCGTATGTCTGGACAGAGTTTTTTTAAGTATATGGAAATGGGATATTTAAGATAGAACCTACCAAATCAAAGCTAGATTTTGAGATCCAACTAGTAATACGTGGACTTCACTTCAAATCTGGTCTGAAATGACTATGTGTCAATTTGCAAAATTCGCTAAATGTATGTGTTCTTTCACATCCAAATACACAAAAAATCCAACATTTTCCAGTAAAAAAGAAAAACAAAATGGATCTTTTACCAGTCCAGATTTGTGCTTGAAGTTACATTAAATTCAGAGTGACGGAAAGTTCCTTTGTGGGAAAAAGTCTAGAAAGCTCCTTTATTTTTTGGAACAAGAACATGGATATTAAATAATGGAATGTAAAAATTACATTAAACAGATATTTGTATGTACAAAGTATATGTCATCATTATTACTGAAATAAATGTTGGCAATATTACAATGATTTTACCATTTTGAAACATACATGTACATGTGTAAAAACAGTACACTACTCAAAAATTTAAGCAATCATACTCACTGATAAATACTTTTACAAATTAGTACGTATGAGAGTCATTCAGTGTGGTTATGTTCAAGCACAAACATGCTCTTCATTGTACAAGTAAAATCAATGATGTACGCACCTGCCTGAAATTTTGAAAGACAAATGTTTGATCCTTGAATTTTTTGAGTAGTGTATTTAATTCCAAACTGTTAATGAGGTTTGCTATTAGCAAAACTGGAAATTGATCTGAAAAAAATTTAATAAAGATTTTATTTATCCCCAATGTAAAATAGTGCCTTTATACATGCATGTAGAAAGAAATAGTAAACACTTTTACACTATTGAATGGTTAGCGAGATAAAGATCAACACTTTAACACTAGAAGTTATTTATGATTGGGTTCTGAATGCCGGAAAGGACAGAATTGGCCCCAATTTCCTTTCCTTTTAGAAATAATTTAAGCCTTCAAAGACGGTGGTTATTAGTCTAGGAATTACAAAGGAACATGCTACATATATCCTGAGAGTGGTCAGACTAACCACCCTCATTTGATGGATTGCTTCAACTCATTAAACCATATCAGGTGAATAACACCTGTTGGTAAGGTTAGACACAGGTACAATGTAGCAAAATCTAGCAATTACAACAAGTGCTCAACTCTGTCTGCTCAGGTCATGCATGAAAGAATGTGAAATAGGTTTGGAGACTTTGAAGTATGACTTTTAGTGAACAAAGTTAAGGAAGTGAAAGGCAGCTCCTCCAATGTAACTGTAGCAAGCAGACAAGTTCAGATTCTGATCAAAGAAGTCAGCTTTCAATAGAAACTACAATGACAGGACCTCTCGTCAAGAGGTTGAAAGTGAGCTACACGTACTGTAGCTGGATAGTTGCCAATGGCATTCTATCAAGGAACTTCTTTGTTATGCAAATGAGACAGGCTCTGCGAAGTGTAACAGGAAAGACTGAGTGTGAAAAGCATCATATACGTCTGCCTTGAGTATCGACCAACACATGCAAGCAGAAGTCCTATCAAGAGGTTAGTCAGCTTTCTTGAGGACAAATATTTCCAAGGAGAAGTCATGATGCTTATTATTTCAACAGCAATCATGGAAGTACGCTAAGAAAAATTTTTAAAAACCTTACCAAAGATGACCACTTCTGCATTGGAAGTCTTAGAAAAAAACCTGAAGACAAACCCAAGCTTGGAGGTACATTTAATGTTTCTCTCTCTGTAACTGGTGGAGGTTCAAATCAAACTACATGTACTAGAAGACAGCTCTCTATTCAGAACAAGAAACCCCGTGGAAGAGTGGCATTATACAAATATTTTTTTATAAAAACTTGCTGTTTAAAATTTAAATCAGGTTTTGATTTTCAATGATTTTTTTACTTGTATCTTTATAAAAGTGTCCAAAAAAATTTTGGTTGTTAAGTTTAATGTGTATTCACACATTTAAAACGTATCTCAACCTGGACCACCTGCCATTCTGCAAATATGGACTGGTCCCTGAAGTACTTGCCTATAAGTCTTGTCCATTGTCTGGCATCCATTTTTTCCCTGACATTTCCTCTTTTCTCTCAATGTGTAGCCACATCAAATTCTTACGAATTTAATGCAAAGCCTTAAATTATTGCGTGCACTGGGTTTTTCAGCTGCATTTTCTGAAGGCTGACAAACAAATAAACTATGAGAGCCTTTGGAGGTAATGAAGTTCAATCAATAAAGCTTTCTAACCACTGACATTACAACAAAAGCACCTAAAACGACAGACTTCTGCTCCAGTTCACTTCTTTAGAATGAGATTTGCAGTTGGCATTGTGGTGGAAAAATACTGCTTCCTTTTGAAGTTCTGGGTTTATTGCCAATAAAAAATATTCTAGTGATCTTTTTAATTTTGCAACTGCCCAATTCAATAAGAGAGCCTTCTTACTCATACATGTTATACATGTACAGTAAGCTTATTTTGAACCTGGAACTGTTTTGATGAATACTCTTTGAAACCAGAATCAATCATATCAGGTTACCACGGATACTTTTAATCAGCTTAATGCAATATAACTTATTTACATGTAGGAATACTGCTGTCCATTCATTAGAACTGTCACCCATTACAGCTCATCCATTGTGGCCAGCAATAAATTACTGTCATTATGACAAAGAGTCTGGTTCTTTTGAATTACAACAGGAGAGTCCAGAATACCTTTAATTCTTTTTAAAAAAATCTGGACAATCATCTCATACAGTCCAGAGCATTCTGGTGATTCATTTCATGTAATTAAAAAGCAAAGTTGCAAATGTTACCGACACTTTGATATGAGTCAGAGGACTTTCTACAGATCTCAGTGAAAAAAGTAAGCCAGTCGTGTGATATTAGTGCAAGAAAGATCACACAGGTGAGAATCCTTCGACGTGGTCAAGATGAGTATATTAGGCTCATTGGTTTCAAGATTGGACAAGGAGTTTGCAGTGTACAAGTCCATGCCAACAAGTTCATCAATCGACACAAGACTATCATCTCTTCTCTTACATACTTCTGTCATTGCCATGGTAACACTGATGATCATCTTAGGCAATTTTTTCCATTACTGTGATGCCAAGCATCTCTGAGTACTAAGATCTTCATGATTGCTCAGGCACTAAATAACTCCATCATTGGTTTGATGAGCATTCCCAGCATTTTTCCATCTGTACTCCAGAATTAGCCTTTCAGCCATGTTGATCAACAGCAACCAGTTTGGTGCCTTGTGTTGTATGTCCATTTCTGTGATGTTTTTTCTATATTCATGGTCAGTGCTCCATAGCAGTCACCAGACCATTACAATTTCAGACCTTATTCTCATGGAACAAGCTCACTGCTGGTTTACTGCATAACTAACCTTTGGTTTGATATTCCTGATCATGCCAACAGATGGGATCTGCGATTGTTTAATGGGGTGCAAAACTGCAACAATCAAACTCATAACCCTAAGCACGTAGCTTGTCCTCTGACTACTAGAGAATGATAAAAGTAAACCAAGATCAGGAGACATGGAGGAAACATGCCTGAGTAACTTCAGCCTGGATTTCTAGACGGCAAAGCCTTCAAGATATTCCTGATTATTGCTCTGATGTTCACTGCTTGCTGGCCACCACTGACAATAGCCAGAACTGTCCAAGCATTCAAGACAAAGCTGATGGCTATGTGGTTAGAGTTTGTCAGCTGGCTCTCGGTTGCCAATAGCTGCTGTCACATCTTTCTCTACTTCATATTCAACCATTTATTTAAGCTGCAGCTAAGAAAATTGTTGTGAAAAGATGGGCGTGATGTTGTGTATCAGTGATGTCGGTAGCAAGTTAAGTTTCACATTGTATTTGTCTAGAATGCAATAAGACCCTGATGGAATAAAAATTTTTAAATGAACAGCCCAACCCAAATCTTGACGAATGATCTTTCCGACATACTATTACCTCTGAGAATTGTTTGGTATTCCAAACAATGAACTTTGCCAGTATATAATATATGATGTCAACTGCAGTACAACATGACAAAAAAGTTGACAGAGCCAATTTCGAATTGAAGACCTACATGTATAGAGAGTCTTCAACCAGAGTTCAATTTGCTCTTTCTCATCCAAAACAAAATAAAAATAACTGAACAAACGGCCTCAAGACATTTGGTGGGATCCTGCTACATTTTAGATTTTCCTTCATTGGTGTAATGTTTGCTGAAAACTCCATTACTTAAGTTTACATTATCCCAAATTTGAAATTTCATCCACCACTTCTAATCTAGCCAATCCCTACTTACGCTTTCTTGCATATGTCAATGGCATCATCGCTGATTTGCTTTAGGTTTACCAACTTGGTGCCTCGGAATACTCCGTCTGTCAAGAGATAGAAGGAACAGGTTCACTGCTTTGCAGAAAAAAGGCTCAACAAAGGAACTTTTTTCATGGAAAACTGTATTCATTAAGTACATATTGACCTTTTTCACCAATGCGACTGGATAGCGCTAAATGTAAACAAAACCACCATGTGTGGACCGCCTTGGCCACGGTGATCGCATATTCCTACGGGCAGCTTCAACCACGTGCAATCACACATACGAATGCTGCATACTTGACTAGTTAATATCTTGAATAGGTAGATTACCATCACAACACCATGCACTCATTACCATCACATCACATGGCAGTCCAGCATGATTGTGACATCCCAGGAAAAAGGTCTATACAGTCAAATCTTGATATAGTGGCCACCTGCGGTACCAACTGTACATGGCCATTACAGCAGGTGGTCACTACACATGCATACTTCAGCAGGTGTCCACAGAAATACCCTTTAACCCTAGTTAACAAATAATCTGGAACAAAGACTTTATGTTTACATGAATTTCTTTTAATTTCTTTTTGCTCTCAAGACACAAGAATGGCAAGAAGAAATCTACACAACTCAACATACATTTTTTAGTCAAGGGTTCAGAGGTTTTACAGCAATGTAATTGTACAAAAATGATTTGATCTGGGTTGGCCACAGGCCACGTTACGCAGTGGCAGCAATAGCAAGATATGGCTATGGTACGTTTATGTGAGAATCAAACTGGACCAAGTAAAACCGGCCAGTTTAGCCAGGTGGTCACTGTAGTAAGGTGGACGTAACTGCAGGTTTGACTGTACATGCATGTCATTTGTTTGTGGATGACAGTGTTACAAAGTGAGCAAATGTCCAATGAAATTATAGAAAAAGGGGAAATTTAAGGAAACTAAAGTTTTTCTTTCTAGATTTAACTTACCAGAGGTGACCAGTACAGTGGACTGGGCGTCCATCATACGGCCAGCCAAGGAGTCTGCAGAGAAACCACCAAACTGAAAAACAAAAGACAATGAAGTCTAGTTTTGAATCAGTCCATGCTTGAGATCCTGAAATCCTGAAAACCAAAATTAGAGATTGGCCTCTTTTTGGAAAGATTGAAGCAACCAACTTTGAAGGCCTTCATATGAACTTGATGTATGCATTTTTTTAATTATATCTACCATTTGAAGTTGATCCTAATTAAGAAATGAAACAAAACTCGGATTCAAATTGAAATCTATTTTACAAAAAGATACCAATACAATCTGATTTTAAGTCAGCATACATGTACATAACTGAGATAAATTATTTTTCATTTTTATCATTCTTAACTGGGCACAAATCAAACATGAAATTACCAACCACAATGGAATGCATTATTCCCAATCGGGCACAAGCCAGCATGGCCACCACAAGCTCAGCTATCATAGGCATATAGATGGCCACACAATCTCCCTTCTTCACACCTGTAATAGGAATAAACAACAGCAGATAACAAGATTTCTTTGTATTTTCAGGACTGCTACAGTTTCATGCAAAAATCTCAACCTTGTAATGATTGTACTGAACCATTTCAATTACATGTATTTCTGAACCTCTGCGAGGGCATTTAATGAAGTGTGATTGAGAAAAATAGCACAGAATGATAGAAATCTTTAACTTATCAATGTAATACATGCATCCAAGGCCATGGGTTAATTGTTTAAAATCCATTTTAAAACGGCTCAGAACATTAAATGTAGAACATCTGCACATAACTCCTTCACAATTCAAAGAACTGTCAGAGATAATGATGAAGGCTTTAATAGTTCTTTTAAAATTTAACATTGTAATGTTGGTAGCAAAATAATTTTACAAGATGCCTCACACGTTTGGTATAGCGCCCTCATGTGACCATGTGTGTTCAACCCCAATGATACAAACTATAACATGTACATGAACAATGCCTGCAACCACTTTCCGCAAGTACACAAAATGGTTCAGACTTTCCACATACATGTACCAGCATGTTATATTCAAGCTAAGAGAATTAAACACAAATTAATTCAACATTTTTCAAAATGTGAGTTTTCTGCCATTTGACTTGTTGCTTGGTACATGTACATGCATTTGATTCTCAGCATTCACAATCCACTAAAACAAAGCAATTAAATCATAAGATATGTAAACACACATATAAAAGAAACAATGGAAAATGTACATAGTTGGAAGACCTACTTCACCTGACCTACATCACAAAAAGAAATCTAGCAAAAGGTGGAAAGGACATATTCTTAAAATAGAAAAGGCATATTGAACCTTTAAGAAATATGTTATAAATAATACAGACTAGCCAAACAAAATGATACATGTACTCGTGTGGCCTGGCTTTTATCACTTATGCTTACACTTGCATGAGAACAAAGGTTACAGTTGACGTCAGATGGCTACATAATGGACTCTAAGGGACTCACTTGGAGGCTTTATAAGAGGTCATCTACAATAACTTCAATCTCGTGAAGCAAACGATAAGGGAATAATTACCAGTAGCCTGGAATTAAATACAACAGTTTCAATCCAAGCATGTACATGTACGGCAGAATACAGAGAAGTGATTGAAGCTAAGTTCTGATCATGTTTCTATCTGGGGATCTGACACATACTGCCTGTTCACTTTTAAGCATGTGCTGTTTAAACAGGTTGTAATAAAGGAAAAAATCAACTATTTCTTATTCTTTAATGGTTCCATGAACTGTGACATACATGAATCTGATATCTGAAAGACTGATTGGTGTGGCTATTACCAGACAGGTCATCAACAGAACAGCCAAGTTCCAGAATATTCAAAATTTATTTTATCATCCCTCTGCCTCTGTGAAAGTTATTCCACGCTGTAATGGGAGCGAGGAGAGGTCCACTTACCCAAACCCTTCAGAACATTGGCAAACTTGCAGACTTCCTTAAGTAGTTGTCCATAGGTGATTGTTGAGCTGTCATTTGGGTCGTTTCCTTCCCTACAAAAAAAATTAAAATTAAAAAAATGCCAAGATTTCTTGAACAAGAATGTTTTTAAGTATGATTCACAAATGCCTTAGACAGTTTAGCCATTTCTATTGGTTGAGCGCCCGTTACATGTATGTAGATTGTCACCTATACCCAGTATGCACCATGCACACCAATCTCTGCGTAAGGAGATTGTTTATGACTACTCACAACAGGAACATACACGTATATATATGTTTGAAAACAATGAATTAAAACTGTAGAATAAAATCGTTGGAAATCTATGATTTATTGAACTTGTTTTGATATTTTGACTAGTCTTAAGTAAATGTTTGTTTTAGATTGGGTCAAACATTTAAGACTGGCTCACAGGGACAATGGACAGTGATAATGTCCCTTGCCTCTGGCTCAGGCATTATCAGCAGCCCTTCTTCCTATCTGGTCTTGATGAATGGCTCCAGGTATTATCAGGAATTCATTCACCTGAAGCTGCGGACATATTCCCTGACTAGTGAAAGTCAGTGGTACTAGTTAACACATGCCAGATACCTATGTACCAGTGCCCTATATATACATATCCGTGATTAAACTTTTACTGTTAATTTGACACATCTGTGACACAAACAAGTTTTAAAATTTCCTTTAAAATTAGCTCTGTGCTCGTACATACTTTGTTACTGCTCAACAACATTAAATGCACAGTACAAATACATGTAAAGGGTTCCACATATCGGTAAATGTACCAGTAAAGGTCTGTCCAAGTTTTAAGATGATTTATAGTAGGTCCACCATTTCAAAATTCCTACTTTAGTACCTTACACCAAAGTGTTACGATTCAGAAAGCCAGAAATATGGAATAGGCGATGTCTAGAATATGTAGTTTCTGTAAGATGACGAAAAATATCTACATCCTTTTCTCCAGATTGCTCACATGAAATTTAATCAAACATACATATTAATAAATGAAAAAGAAATAATAGGAATGGGTTTTCAACATTTTCCAATGTCCATAGTTTCTTGCTAAATTAAGCATTCAGCCAGTCCAACATAAATTTCTGTTCCTTATTTCAATTTTGTTTTCCCTTTAGAGATTGGGTGCTTTCAACACCAGCAAAAAGCATCATCTAGCGGCACAATTGACGCCAATCCACCGATAGGATTTACTGAGCTGCGGTACGATGCAGTCAGTTACCCTGGGCTATACAAGCTATCCTATCATCCCGATTTAATCAACTGGCCCAACATCTTCACTAGAAGGGAGAAGGGCAGATTGTAAAATACAAGTGCAAATACATGTATCCACAGGTACATGTATACAGTGTTACAGTGTTTCATGGGATCATTCTGGGACATTTCAGGGATGGAAGGATTTACCAGGAAAAGCATTCCAATCCAATGATTTATAAACGTTGTTACAGTAAAAAAAAGAACAAAGGTACACTTAACCAAATTTCAATGGGCCAATTAAAATGGTATGCATGAACTACATGTACTGTAAGAAATATTCTTCACCTACATGTATTTAACATTAGAGTTTCATCAGTCCTTTATGTGAGCAATGTCAATGCATTGTTTTTATGGCTTGTGCACTACATGTGTATGTATGTACATCACATAATTGTGTATTGCACAACTCCAACCACTTTGCAGTGCGTGTATTTTTTAATGTACTTTGTGCTATGAGTAATCATTAATGCAAACGGTAGAATGGCCTGACACCCTCACAATCAATACTATTTGTATTATCTCTATTTTTAAACCAGCTAAGCTAAAGTTGGACCTGAACAAGGCACCCTGGGGTGTACAAGGAACCCCTAGGTTTCATAATAATATTTGTATTACATGGTCCATGCATGTAGAAATAAATGTACATTCCAAAAACTACAAAAAGCTCACATCCCTTTAAATGCCATGTGTCTCTATTTTTAGCCATCCCAAACCAAGGTATGGCTGTAAAACCTGCCACCCACTTTCTTTCATGGTGACTAAACTTTAAACCTGGATGAATGACCAATACAAGTAAGAATCAATGAAGAAAATGTAGCAAATGGTCCAAGGGAAATAACATGAAATTCATTCAAATTAATAAGGTTGAAAATTCCTGATGAACACTTTGATAAACTTCACAGTTATAGGTGTCCAATGTCCATCTTGTTCATGGGACAGGTCCTTTTTAAAATCTGTGTTGCTGAGTGCCGGCAAAAGCTGAAATAAAAAAATGGCAACTAGCAAGACTAGTGTGACACGGTTTACTTTGTCATGTTTGTTTTAATGTTCGCGACTGCATAGTCTGAAATAAAGGTCCTGGCAACTAGCTGTATACAGTCACAGACGTTAGTTATTAAATAGGCCTACAAGATTTAGGAAAGACTTCTATGCCACACACAGACATAACCTGACACCATGTGCACAAATTATCTAAGTGTGTTCTGAGTGAATACTATGTTCACTGCTAAATGTGACTTTTTAGGACATTTTAATTAATATTCAGATAGCCCCTTGGACATGGTAGGTCACTATGGGGAAGTAGACCTACCCCCAGAACTGTGCCGGTCAGACGTCTACCCCGCTCCCACGTGGTGGGAACGGGGTGGACGTCGGACCCCGCACAGCTCTGGGGGTAGCATATCTGTAATTCTTTCCCATCAATTAATATGATCAACCTGTAACAGGACATTCCATGTGATTACATGTCCTTTCACGTTCACCTTGGGTTTGACCATTGCATTATGGGAAGATTAGAGTAGCTTCAGTCCTTTTATGAGCAGGTCTTCGGTCATGCCGCATCATGTGTAATCACACTCTGTATTGTGTAAATGAACTAATCAAAATGTAGCACAGAGTCAAGAAGAATCCTCATTCCTTCCCCATCCGAACCTGGCAGTGGTATGGGTAATGGTCAATCTGACCGTTACAAACCAATCACACCAACACTGCTTCACGTTCATGCTAGCACCAACCACCAGGCTCGAATAGAAATGACAGATGAGTAAGTTCAATGCAAGAACACAGTTGGCATGCTGGAGATCTCGGATGATCTTACATACATGTTTTATTTATCACTTTCACTTTCAGGCAGCGTCAAATTTCGAGCTGCAATAACGTTCATTTTTTATACAAACCGCAAGTGTTCTTAAGAAGTAGGTACCTACCAATAGAATGCAATCTTGTCTCCTTTTCCAGCCTTGACATGTCTGTCCAGTACATTGTAACAAACATTAGTAGTAGCACCTTGCATCCACTTTATAAACACAGGGCCATCATTTACGTTGAAGTTGTACTCCAGAAATTTACCCTCGGTCGGCGGCCGTTCGAAGTGGAAATCCTTAGCTATATTTCCCCAGAACACCTCCGGTTCTTCGATGGACTGCTTGTGCATTGCACGGTACTGTTCCATGGAGCGGACGTGAGCCCCATTTTGGATTTCTGGGTTAGGATAGTAGAATTTTGAAGAGTTCATTGAATCGCCCTTCGGATTCGCCATTTTGATTCAGCCGGCAAAATTATGAATAGCGCCGCGCCGCGCCGTGCGCGCCAAGCAGCCGATCCAGCCGTCCGATCCGATCCGATGCACGGGCAAGATGGGTAAAAATATATTGGTTTTCCGCGATTGGTGCGGATCAACTTGTCCATTAATGATCATAAAAATAAACCACACATCCGATATATCACAAAATTGTTTCGATCATATGTCTTCATTTGCATATGCTCAGTTCAAAATGGTCTAGTTTAACGCAACTTCATTAGTTTAATCAAGCTTAATCCCGACTTGCCGTGGGAAATTTATTATTAGTCGGGTAAGATCATTCGACAATGTGCTGTGATTTGACCGTAGTTGGGGTGAACATTTTCCTGGGTACGGGAACAGCTACGTGCCTGGGTGGGGCGTTTCAAGGCCATTGATTGGCTAAAAAGAAATAAGCCCACGTTTCGATGAAGGATCTGCTATACTTATAACGTCCAGGGAGCGATGCTTTATCAATATTCATGCTACTCTTTAGATCTATTTTAAAGAAACGGAACACAAAAATGGAACAACTAGTGAAGTCTGCGCATGAATATTGGAACTAAAAGGTGAGGCGATAGGCTCCTAAATGAAGTCACCTGCAAGCATAGCGGTACAGCATCTATCGCATAAAACTTAATATTTCCTAGCTATCAACAGGTGAATTTTCCTTCCATTTTCTTCTTCTCGATACTCGACTTGAACCTCAATTTAATTCCATAATTGAAACAACTTGAAACAGTAAAAACACCAAGAGACAAATGCAACGTCATTTCCGCACTGCAGCTAACTTTAATTTTTAAACACAAAAGCAAGCAGGGATATATTGTGCGCAGACCATGTATCACACATTTCAGATATCCGATTTGAGAAAAGAGAGAGATTGGTGAGTTATCTCAGAGGTGACCAGATGCTGTTTTCTGAACTAAAACCGACCCTTTCTTGAGGCTATATTTATTTGGAAACTAGCAGTTTTAAGAAACAAACTTGCCCCAAATCTTCTTCATTAAAATCCATTCATTTTTTCAAGAGTACTTCCCAAAAATTATTAAAATTCTGAACATTCTTCCAACACGGCTTGGATTATTTGTTTCTAAAATGAGACCATCAAAAACTGTGTTATTTAAACAAAGTAGCAGCGGTCTTGAACAACCTAAGGTGAAAAAATATCAATGGTTACTAAAACAATTGCACGTTAGTTCTAAAGAGCCTAGGGGTCTTTAAATGCAATCTTCTACATATATGTATTACCACGGTTACAAGCTAATTTCTTGATGCATGGAGAAAATTTTGAGCATTATTCAAGTCAACTGCACACAATAATAAAATAACCACTGAAGCATAACTGCATTTAGACCATTCACTACTAAAATAAAACATTAAATACAAGTACTAGATTTCTTCAGTTACAGAAAGAAAACAAAACTTAGCATTACCAAAAGCAATCACAGATTTCCAAGCTTTTTTTACAAATTGCATAATATTTTAGAAGGCTTTCATCATAAAATTTAGAGAAATATTAACAAATATGAAAAGCTCTGAATATCCCACGAAGAAAAATTCGAATATTCATGAAGTAATTTAGAAGTGTCCTGAGACTAGTAAACTATATAATCTACGCTTATCGAAGCAATCATACATCTTTACTGCACACAATAAAATACTACTGAAGTCTGCACTTATAATGTAATACACTTTCGCTATGTGTACGTGTCCCATTAAATAAACCTTCCAGCCTGGTTGGAACACCTCTTAATATATTTGAAGTGTTCTTAGAATATGGAAAACCTTTTCCTATATTCCATATTTTCAAGAGGAAGGAGAGGTTTATCTAAAAGCAAACTAGACTTTACAAAAACATCCAAGATGATTCCAAACTTGTGCAATGTGCATGCTCTCCGCACTTCATGAATGGAAGGTCCAACAGGCAAAGTATTTGTTCATTCAACATATCGTGAAAAGGACTGCCCACAAAGGCTAAGATAAGCCCGCAGGATTGGGGGTGCTATGGGTGCTGAAGCACCGCTAACTTTTTTGGACCGGGGTGCTGGTGTACAAAATAGCACCCCTAACCTTAACCACGTTAAGCCACAAACATAATCAAACTCTCCAATGTCAGAGATCAAATGAAAAAACCTTGATATTTATGATTTTACAACCTCAGCACCCCCTAAGAAAAATGTGTTCCCACGGGCACGGGCCAAGATCATGCATATGTATATCACTGAACTTTTGCCGGGAATCAACCAATCAGCATCAAGGATTCAAGTCTGCTGACAATTACAGTAGAAGTAGTCTATGTATTCAAAGACATTAACACACAATACAGCACTACATGCTTCAAGATGAACATATATGCATTATTTCATTACCGTACATTCATATTACTACAAGTATATTGTGTAAAATACACCAACTATGACCCTAATAGACTGAAAGTCATTACAGTATTGGTTACACATGCAGTGTACCTGTGGTCAGTCACACTAATCAACATAAAAAACACCTGTAATCATATCAGTATGTGCACTATATTATATCATGCTATGGATAAATGACTTGATTTTAGAACAAACTCGTAATTGTAGTAAGCAATCTTATTGATGGCTTTGCTTGTCAAATGTATAAACAAAAAGGCCAACATCTGATATTGAGATGTTTGCACATCCAATCAAGAAGCTCACATCAGCTCATTACTAGCTACCATGATTAGACGTGTCACCAACAACTGTCTGCATGACAAGATATGAATGACACTTGCACTGAGATAACATGATAAGATTAGGATGAGAAATCTTTGCCAGTGTTATGAAAGGTCACGCACTTTTATTCCTAGAAATTATTTAAAGAATCTTGACTTCATTTCATGAACGAAGTAAATTGTTCACAAGTGATTCTACATGTTTTTCTTTCCTCAACTTTTACAAGGCCTGCACACAGGGACTATTTTGGACCACCATATCTTCTTGGAGTCAAGGCAGAGTAATAGAAATATTAACACGCACAGTGTCACAGAAAATCAATCTTTAAATTCTTTTACAAGTTCTTGTTATGCAAGCATTGTTTACCTCCTTTTACAATTATGAAAATGACAGTGTAGTTTTTAAAATCATCATGCATGGCCAGTTTAAGCTATTTATACCATTTCCTGACAATAATGAAGTTCAAATCAAGATTGTTCTGTAATCTATACATTTTGACACTACAGGGCAACTCCAGCTGGTGTCACAATGGCTACTCGTATTCAATGACAAAAACACACATGCACATGTATGTAATTATATAGAAATACAACATTGATAATCTACAAGTAAATGTTACCACCTTTGCACCAAAGTAAGACCTCCTACAGTGCCTACCTAAAAACTGCACATTAATAATCACAATACTCCATGAATGCTAATCACAAACGTCATCACTAAATTAATAAAAAATAGATTTTCTCATTTTTGTACATAATGTCATACGCATTGGAAAGAATTTTTTTTGTTTTTTTTTAAACAAGACTTTTTTACAATAAAATATGATTTAAATAGAGTACAATAGTCTTGAAGGTTCTGTTTGGTGCCTTTAATAATACACCACAGGACACATTCATTGCAAACTGAGCTGTGTGAGCAAGTCATTTATCAGTGTCTGTTTTTTTCCTTCATCTAAGATAACAACCGTAAAGTTAACTTCTTTTTGAGGTGTTTTCTTCATGCTGAAAAAGATTAGCAACTGCAATTTTAGATGCAAGGCTGAAGCACATGTGACTCAACATATTATCAAACCCATCCGAAAGTGAAATCTTTCATCTGGTAAAACAAAACTAGACTTTGTTTATTTCACCTCGAGACTCCATATCAGAGTTACTATTCACTTATTACCAATTCTGCTGATCATACATCAAAACAAACGTGTTACAAGATGTTAGAAGTCATGCCTACTTACTTTTACCAACAAAAATAATAATACTAAATGAACGATGTCACACATTACAATCCATTAGTGCATACACTTTGCTAGTTCAAACGTCATTATCAAAGAACCCTGAAAGGTAATTGATTCCATACTAAATTTTGAATATATTGTGAGGAAGCCATGCCAGTGATGAATTATTTTCCTTCTAAATATAGCAGAGCAATTCTGCCTTCTGTAATTATCTTGAGTTACACACTGCCTCAAAGACTGCTCATCTGTATGTCTAGGAAAAATAAAGCAGCGATCCCATGCAGCTGATTTCTGGATTACACTATACACTGTCCAAATCATACACTCCAACAGAAAATTTGTTACTAAGCTCTAAAGATCCAGTTTAGAAGTTAATTACTGAAGATTGCTCTCTTGAAAATAAACCTCATTCATTTGTTGATGACATGTACTGGAACTGTATGAGCACATGGACACAGTCAATCTCAGATGTACTCGTACATGTACATGGAAAACTGAGACAGAAAAGTGGAACAGTCCAGTAAATGTACAGAAAAGCAAACAGGAAGTTAGCCATTTATCATTTTATGGTTTTCGCACAGCATTACAGAATTTCACAGACGACCTTCTCAATATCATGAGACTTCTTGGAACTGCTGATTTATTCAAACCCTGGAGGGAAAGTCTCTTAAATAGCTCAAATGAAGATCACAGTACATGTACCATTATAGGTATGTACACTGCTTAGCTTTAAAGGCCTCTGTATTAAATTTACACCAGTAATTTTTTTCCCCATCTATATTATGCCTGGACACGAGGCCTCAGGGGACTGTGTGTTGGATGATTGCTCGACTGCCTTGCAGACATGTGAAAAGACCTCTGGGAAAATGAGAATAGAAAATTAAAATTCACGAGGAACTCTTTTCCCTGTCTCATGCTGGTCTGGAATTAACATGCAGTATGGTAACAAGATTCATTGCTGTCTTTCAGGCAAATGAATTTGGTGGTCTACGAGTTCCATGAAAAACAAAAGATGGTTTGAATCTTGCACTGATCAGCAATTTCAGATTTTTTTTCTGCACCTGACAATGGATTTCATAAATAGTAAAACTTTACTTACAAGGTAGCAAACCTTTTGGATTTGTTTGCCAAAAAGAAACAGAAAAAAACAGTTTTCAATTAATGTTGCACAAGAACAGACATTTAGTAGAGTTCAACATGTAACAATGTTTTTGTTTGGGTGTTACATACATTGAGACTGCATCTACATGACAGAACAACAAGAGATATTTGTCCAAGACAACACCTGCACAAGAAAGCCTGGTGATGTTTGCACCTCAGAGAATATGTAATTACATGTAGATTTATCACCTCAACACAGCTCAACTCACAAGCCATGATAATATCAAAATGACAACTAATTCCCTCAATTTTTGCCCAAATAAGGATTTTTGCCTTTCAGTTGGCACAACTAAAATATGAACTACAGCTACAGTGCAAAAAAAGAAAACAACAAATATTTGTGAATCTTAATTCTTTTTTCTGATTGACTTTTAGAAAATTCAGTTTTTCCATGAACAAAAATTCAATTCTACAGATAAAAAGAATTTATGAGGGCAAAGAAAAATGTCTCCCTAGCACCCCTACCTTTTATTTACTACACAAACCTTCCAAAGTACATAGTAGGAAACAAACTGCCTTTATCAGTGCACAATTACAAAAGCCACCAAAGTCAGCAAACAACCGTGAATATCATTTCCTGAAATCATCACACTATTATTACTGTGTATTCCTGCTAATTGAAAAAAAGATGGAAAGAAGTGAATACAGACAAAAAGGCATGTGTCCAACTGGCTCCCAACCCCCCCCCCCAAATTGATTGGAGGGTACGTGCATTCATTCAGGCATGACAAGGCCGACATAACAATAGCAGTCTCCTGCCTAGACAGAGTACGGTTAGGTAATGGCAGGTTGGGGGTACAAGAGGAACACAGTTACTGTACAAGAGATTGTATGGGTAGTTGCTGTGCATGACAAAAATCATGCTGGTAAACATGACAGAAAGTCTGAATCTGAAAAAAATTTGCTGCAGTCAAAGTGTGGTTTCAACTGGACAGTTCACGGCTTTTTTGCCCAAATGGTTAATGGTTTGGTGTACTTGCGTACATTTTCACATTTAATTTTTTGTCAACTCCCAGACAGTCTACTTTGGAATTTTCCAAAATCGTAACAACTCTATCTGTTTAAAATAATATCACCTTTGGACAGTTAACACTAGGCAAATCTCGTTTTAGGTCCATAAAAGCAAATTTACATCCATTCACACATCAGGTGTGATAAATTCTGTACATGTTACAGGTCAGTGAGCGTTCTAAACTCCATACAGCTGTACAGTGCATACAGTTCTTTGTGAGACTACTTAGAGTTTTCAAGAGATTCAAATGGATTATTGGAACAATGCTGAAAATGGAATATATACTGGTACTCTCATTATAAAATCATATCACACAGCATATTCCAACCAGCATGAACACAAACATCGCATGTATCATTCACAGACTTTGCTACATTCACATGTACATTGGATGCTGTATGGACCCAAACAATCTGTACTCGTTGAAAGCTTAATTTGACACATGCATTGTACACTTCACTGGCCAGTTTATTCATAAACCAGTACTTTTTAGGATTATGATAATGTAGGACTTGAAACAAAATACATGTACATGTTTTCCTGACAAAGTTCAAACTGACCAAAATCAAAAATTAAGGAAAGCTACCGTATACCGGTATCATGAGTTGAAACATCCAAAGACAAGTTGGTTTGTGTATGGGCTGTTTGTTGCTGTAGTCTGATATTAATTAATCTAAGTCCGGCACATGTGACTTTCAATTTTGTGACTTCATACTGTGCATCCCAGAAGTCTGTTGATGTACGACGTACAACATACAACGTACGACATACAACGTACAGCGTACAACGTACGACGTACAATGTACAACGTACGTACGACAGGTCTGTTTCTGAGTATAATAATTTTTATCGGTGTAATCATTGTGTGCAGTGCATTGCATGGAAAGGCTGCTTGCATCTATAGTTTAAATCCCTAGCAAAAACAGTTTAACACAAAATTAAATCACGTTGAAACAATTTATGTGTAGAAAAGTAATCAAAATGTATAAAAGCACAGAACATGCACATCATTTACTATTGAAAGTTTCTTTTTACTTATAAACTGAGTAACTGATTAAAAAAGCTCAACATACATGTTTGCAAGAACTCGTCACATTTTAACTCATACTTTTTGTTTGTTTTTTAATGCACGCATGGAATACAGTCAGAGTACAATGTCTGTGTTACTTCAGTAGATGTTTCATCATGAAGGAACCACTTCGGAGCCAGCTACTCGTACATGTATGTACATGTATACCCATGTAAACACTGGTAATACATCAAGGTGAAGTTCGAAATCCTGGGCAACATTCAACCATTTTTTTGCATTTTGCATTGATACAATTAAACCTAATTTGAAACAGGTGAAATAATCATTTACAACATTTAAATTTAAAATAGTTATTCCAGCAAAAATATTATTTCAATTAATTGGGTACAAGTTTACGTATTGGTTCGTGATCCTTACCTAACTTTCACTCCTCTTTTTCTCGTTCAATTCGAGCCTTGATCTTCTCACGGAAAACAAAGACAACAGTCATATTGGCGATCATAAGTAGAACAAAGTAGCCATAGACTATCATGGGCGTGGGGGTGAAAAGGTTGGAGTAGATACTTCGTCTGTCAACGTAGTCTCGGTAGACGGCTTCCACTTCCATGTAGGACGTCAACGCCATGAATATGTGAAACAGTTGATGACCATGTCCTACAATGTCAAAGTTACCAGGGGAAAATTTCTGGGGGAAAGGGGCAGCAAAGAAAAAGGAGCCAGCTAAAAAGGAAGCCACCGAGAGCACCTGGTAGAAGAGGGCCAAGTCGTGGAAAATTGACAGCCCCTGGAACAGAAGGCGCATAACAACAGGAAACATGGTTATGATGTAACCAGCGGCCACAGAGGACATCTGCCAAACTTTGCGAGCGAAGGGGTAAGGTCGTTTGTAGCGATACTTGGAGTAACTGCAGCAGAAGCAAACTAAGAAGGAGAGAAACCAATGAAGGGGGAGGTAGAAACTTTCAGTGACATCATAAACCCAAGGCAGAGCACAGAAGTGAATATGGGCCATACCAGCAGAGAAGGCATACAGGCTGACACCCATGTAGTCGATGAAGAAACAGGTGTGATGAGCCACCTCATTAATTGATTGGAACAGGTGCGCGCAGGTGCTGAGAAACAGGTAGGTCATGCAGCTAAAGATGAGCATCTTGAACATTGGGGCATAAGGATCATGTTCCATGTCCAAGGTCGCGCAGAGCCGAATCCCCTGGAACATGATGGCCACGCAGGCGATAGCATGGGTCCATACGTTGAGGGATTCATTGTGGATCTGAAAGAAGCTCTTCAGGTAGAAGCTGAAAGGTTGGTAAGGCTTGCGGTATCCAATCTCTACGTATGGCTCACGGAACTGCAGTGGAACCTCCTCAGCTCGCAGACCAGGAGGCTGGTTATTCTCATAGCCAATTGAGATTTTCATCTTTCCCCCACTTCCAAACCAATGTCATCTATCAAATTCCTGGAGAAAAATGACCAACAAAAATGAAATTGGACATTTAAACTTCCAGTTCTTTTAAAACACTTTCTTCAGCACAGACAACTAAGACAAGGCCCAACTTTGATTGATATAGCCAGATTTGAATGTTTAAAGACATTTATCCAATAAACGATTGGAACACTTGTTGCGTCTTAAGCCAAGAGGTTATTTCGTGACCATTTTTCAGACAGTCATCAAGGTTGGTTGTTATTCTGAGATTTTTCCATTACTTTCAAAATCTTTTGTCAGTACATGTATCACAGAGTACTGGAGAAAAAACTTTTGAAACCACTTTCATAAATATCAACTAAAGAAGGAGAACACATTTTTTGTAGGTCTATTTTATTTGAACTGGACACCAAATGATGAGTGTAAGGCTGCTGGAAAACCAAAAATAACAATTAGCTTCAAATCAATTAGATCCGACTGGTCGGATCCCTTCATGAATTTGGTATGAGAACTGGCATTGTTTTGCACATGACTCAATAAATGCACAGTTGTAAAAACTCTGATATACGTCTCTTTATCCAATTCAACTTGATCATTTTCTGTGTTGAGTAGATCCTTTGCTTCAGGAGTGCTTGCTGATGAAAACAGAAAATATTGGCCCAAAATTACTGTAAAACTAAAAGTTAAACTCACTGGCCAAGTGAAGTCACAGAAGTCGTTCCAGCTGAAAATGATGAATTCCAAATTGTGTCTTTAAATACAAGTATCGGCACATGGCCCTGACATTAGTTAGGTAAGGAAAGAGTTCCATACACGAACATACATGTAATTTGACACTGAGTGCACTGACTCTAAGTTTAAGACTGGTCTGAAAATTATTTCATGAGTAAACACTTTTGGTATTTTCCCTGCTAAATTTGACTCTTTAGGATATGTTATTGCTTTCTGTTGGCTGATATTCCAGTGTAGAAAAATAACAATGTCTGTATTGGCCCAGGCCTAATGTACATGTACTAATGACTGTTATTGTTACTGCACTGTTACTCAGCGTTAGCCAGCTGGATCCGGAGGTGAACAAAATAATGACTGAAAAAAACATACAACATATTTGGAAAACTGAAAGCTAACCAAACCTCGCATTAAATCACGCAAACAAAGCAACCCCCACCCGACACTGGATTAAACACCGAGCTAGCTGGCCAGAACGGCAGACGTCAAATCATACACACGCGCAACCCTGACCATTGCCATAGCATCACTGACCGTCGACCCCGCCCAAACTGTTCACTCGCCGGCTTTCTGCTCAAAACTTATGGACCAAAAATTCCTCCTTTTTCCACCCAAAAATTTACCAGCTGTGGTCCGTTTACTTACTTTTACCTGCACACTACTCTCCAGTCTCAGCGTTACCATAACTTCTGAAGATATAACTGAGTTTTTGTCAGAATATCGCACTTAGGCGAAGAGACCTTCAGGACTACAAGCTGCTGTCCCGAGCAACTGGTTAATGGTTAACATGAATGGCGCCATCAAGTGTCACAAATTCGCCCGCCTCCAATATTAATCCTGCAAACAACGTCGCGCCGTCGAATCGTCATCATCATAAGTATGCCACTTTCAAGGGCGGATCCAGGCTGGAGCAACAGGGGCTACACCCTCCCAACGCCCAAACCCCTGCCTTTAAGGGGGTTAATGAGAGAAAGACGATTTTTTTTCTCTCTCTCTTTTTGGCAACCCTCAGAAAGGCCACAAATAGTTTTAAAATTTCAGGCCACCCTTGGCCACTTCTAGATGATGGACCATCTTTTCTTTTTGGGGGGTGGGGGAGTTTTGGGGAAAGGTTGTGATTTTTTATTTGTATTTTCTGGGAACAACTGTTACAAGCAATTACTGCACCAACTGGCGTAGTGCGCAAAGGCCGCGCTGCTTCGTTAATTCTGTCCAACAGTACAAAGATGACCGTGAAAGACGCTGTCTCCACCGTCGACACCGATGGGATGGGCTATGATGATGGTTTTCTTAAAAAAAAATCATCGATGAACCACTTATAATGCTCCTTGTTTGTACGTTTCAGTGAAGAGGTATAGAAAGTGTCGTGTGTTGATCAAAACCTGCCTTTCTTCTGTCTCCAACACCCCGCCCAGCCCACTTTGGTTACTTCGTTAGAAACAGTCTCTCCAGTTTATGGCTCATTGAGCTGCTGTTTGGGGCATCTTATCCGTCATTACAAAATGCCACAAACGGCAAAAGATTCTGAATAAGTATTCCTGAAAAGTTCTTTTATTCAAGGAAAACAACATTAATAACACAACTACAGACTACTGTACATAAATTGAATATGAATCCATAGAATTAATACGTTCTTCTGTATTTTGCGACACTGTAACCGATCTGACAAAGCCGTTTATCCGTCAGAACATTGCTGAATCCTGTTTTGTTACGGATTTCCTCAAACTGTAAAACATTAAATGACAGTAATTTTGTGGTTCGTTTTTGTAAACATTTTCATTACAAATCGCATAGGCCAGTTTTAAATTTCCAATTTCTTCAAAATTGGGTTTCCTTGATCGTTTTGGCCGTAAGCTAACACTTCTATTTTCCAATCGGTTCTAGTTTTCTCAAACAAAGTTGTTATTCTGGCTTTTCCTGATAAACTTGTTTACTTTTTGTTATCGAATCTTCCTGTAACAGTCCCAAACCTCGTTAAGTTCACATCGCTGTCTCTGATCAAGATAAACTGTCTTAAAGTTTAGTTCGACAAATTTTAAATTTCAATAAAAATTTTCAACAAAAAATAGTCTCAGATCTTACCCAAACGTTAGATTTGATTTTTTATAATTTCCCACAATGATACGTTATCACTACAATTTGTTCTCAGCAAATGCATCCCAAGGGAGCCAGTGCGTATGCATCATCACCGACCAGACACTGAGGCTTCACAGACAGGACTGCAGAGTACGAAACAGACAAAAGGTTAATTTTGTTAGCGATAGACATGGCAAAACTATTCAGGTGGCAAAACATCTGTTCACAACTTCGTGAAAAATTTTAGATGCGAACTGGATTAAAAAGTTTCGTATGAGGTACTTTAGATAGGTCTCACAGTCGTCATGAAACGAAAATGAGCCATTCATTTACCAGAGGGGGACTGAGAAATCATTAATGAATGACATCTCTCGGCCAGAAGTACTGTCTGCGATCCCAAGTAAGTGTCCTTGCTCATGATCCAAAACTATATAGCGCCCTCACCTAGCACGATGCAGACTTTCATCAGCCGACCGCTGCCATGCATGTCTGTGGGAGCGTTCGCGTGTATGCCCAGGAAGGCTCATGACGGTGGACGCTTTCCTTTCAACAGGTTTGCAATCTGTTACCATAAAATAAAACAAAAGGGGCTTCCCAACCGTTAGAAATAACCTAACATTTTAGCACCTCAACAAATGGATTGGTCAAATCCCTCCGTCGGAATAAAGTGGGTGCACACAGCACATGTCGCCGATGAACCATCGTCCTCATCAATGAGTCTTCTACTTACCCAGTGAAGCTTTTACATGCATACTCACCAAGTTGTGTTCTTACACTTTGGTACCTCGAACTGTAGCTTTTTTCTTCTCATAGCAGGTGGCAGCCTGCCTTACACGGGATAAAACCTGCTGTGTGGTGTTATTGATAGAAAAAAAGCTTTGCGTGTAGTAGGCTGTGCTTCAAAAGGAGCAACTGCGAGCTCGCGCAGCTTAGCGGCACCGTGCTGTTGATTCGTACAGACAGACTGACAGACCAACTGACAGACAGATAGTGCGGACCGAATGGTTTACTCACAGGGTCCTTGCGCCTCGGATGAGGTTGGAGAAGTGACGTCATGATCTGTGGATGCAACGATTGTAAATGCATCTTGCGTTGTCTCACTAGTGGATGTAATGCTTTGTGCTACTGTTGTCTCTTCTAAGAATGCAGAGAGGGTAGATAAAACGGAAAAGGGATTTGACAATAACCCTTAGTAAGGAAAAGAAGCATTGACAAGTTTAAATAATCACCCGTTTACTTCATGATATATGATTTTCACGATTTTTGACAGATTTGATCATATCCGGTGACCTTGGATAGTGTGTTTTACGTCTAAAATCGTAGGTTTGACGTGCGATACAAATAATTATGGCAATGTCAGTACTAGTGCCATAGTTACAAAGACAAGAGACATTTAGTTTATACACACTCATGTTAGGTTTTCCTCAAACAGCTTCAAAAAGTCAGGTTAACCTTGTAGTAGTGGTGGAACGAAAGAACACATGACGCCTTTTGGTTCATCGCAATGGTCTGTTAACCAGTAGCCGCTGCTGGTGTCGATATAGGCACAGTCTGTCTCAGATGCAACGACGCCCGAGCCACTCGGGTGCCATTTTTCGAAAGAGAGGTTAGGTCCGTAAATACTGCGCAGGTCGTTGTCTTCTTCTTCATCCGTGATACCCAGCCAAAAAGTAGCTTTGCTGCATGCGAAATGTTCAAAAGATGGGAAAGTAAATTGTTGACTCATTGCTCCTATTTTAAATCTCGAACTGTTTTACCACTCAACGTGAACACTTTCGTTTTAAAACTTTCAACTAATAATTGCCAGCTAGGTGGGTTTGGGCGAGTGGACGTAGGGTTTATTGCCCTTGGGCCATTGTCAGAAAATATTGGATATTTTTCCTCGCTTCTTATACCCCGTGAGGATGGTATACAGGTCCACGAAGTCTGCTTCAGACTGGCTCTCCGGTATAATCATCCGACCTGGTAATGTTTCACAAGCCTGCCGTGCAGAGCTGAAATTCCCAGTCATCAACACACGAAAATCGTAGCAGACGTCATCAAAGGGGACCATTGTTGGCGGACAGCCTGCGATACAAGAGAAAGCCAAATTACAAATGTAGTATCATTTCAATATCCTTCCCCATAGTCTCCAAACTTGCAGAACGACCGAAAGAAGAGAAAATCAGAATAAAACAACTCTTCAAGGAATACGGGCGATTCACAATAGTGCACCTCCAAGAGTTTGCAACGCGTTAGCCAATCACAATGAGCAAAATCTGTTGACCCTTTCCAAACGGTCATTGCGTCGACAGATTTCGCGCATTATGATTGGCCAATACATTGCAAAATCTTGGAGGCGCCCTATTGTGAAACGCCCAAATTGGTTCACCTGTGTTAGGGTCGATGTTGGAAGAAGGAATAGGCGTCAGCATCCGACATAACACTCCACGTTTCTTCCCAGTACAAGCCTCGTCTTTCCAATAACTATTTGATGTATCCCAGGACCCACAGTTCTTGTTCATGTCGTTCTTTGGTCTATCGTTGTCCCAGTTCGCGAAGGTTATGTCTGCCCCGGTGTACAGAGACTTGAAGTTCATTTCGGATAAGTGGTCGTAGATTCCAATCCAGTAAGAGGAAGAACTGCGTACATAGTAAATGCGTAAATTATATTATAACCTCTTTAGTTTCCTTTTTCAGTCAGACAGATTGAATTTTCAAACGGAGATGGTGAAGTTGGACTCAGTGGAATGTTCACGATGAAGGAATCGTAATGGTACTGAGGTCTACGTCAGCAAAACAAACATACAGTGCACTTGTATACGGTACAGGTACATGTACACAGTACACTATAATCTGTTATTAATTTTCATATGCGTTCAAAGATATGAAGAGTGCACTCGGTCAAATTTTCGGATTGTGTATTCAAGAGGATATTAAAAAGCTCTACCGTGCACATATTACAACTAAAATTCTTACGATGCTTGTGAGTTGCTCAGTAGATCTTGTACTATTGTGAAGTCGCTTGCACTTATCTCAGCCAAGTCGGCGTACTGTGAGTGAACGCGGCATTTGGCCCTGGCCTCAAACCATGAGTCGGTGTCGTCAACGCTGTCTTCGAATACGACGAAAGAATATCCTGTTGTTGGACTGTAGGCAGTGTAGACGAGCATTGCTCCTGGAAAGCGCAGGAAAATAGTCAACAGGAACAACTAAAGAACTAAAAGAAGTCAAATAAGGTCTGCTTGAATGTCACGAATTGCAGCTGTTTCGAAATGTACATCCTTCCATGTCTTTCCTTACATCCTTCACCCCGTGAATTTTCCCGTCTGAAATTAGCACTTATGATAACTACACATTCATTCAAATACATATACTCGTATACTTTTACCACGTTCGTGTAGCGCAAAGAAGCAAAATCAAGTTAGCAGAGTAGAGTAATTGTGCAAAAAAGTCCAATCCACATATAAAGTCTCATTACCTGGTAGACTGCTCAGTACAAAGAAGGTTAGCAGCGAGGCTGTTTGTCCGTTCATCTTGTTCAGTGCAATTGAATCTTAGTAGGCAATGAAGAGCCTCCACAGGATTTCCTCCTTTAACTTAAGTACAATTTTAATTAAGATTATGACAGGTGTTGGCTTCCCACGCGACATTGACTTGGCATAAAATATCCGTCTTATCGGCTTCGTGATGCCAATAAGGGAAGGTCATTACCCGACTCCTGCATGAGCATAAATTTCCACTTTATTAAATAAGGACGTAACCCCAACAAAAACTTTTTTTCTAGTTTAAAAGAAGGGATATTTTTAAATGAACTCAAGAGACTGTTTGCTTTGTATCATTATTTGTTTTTCGATTACGCTACGAGGGGGTTATGGGGGCCGGAGGTTGAACATGGTTTCGATTTAGGAAAAGGAGAAATGATGGCATGATCTTTAAAAATAAAGACTGAAATAGACACGATTTATTTGACAGCAAGAATGATCTCTTTTTTGAATATGTGGTGGCTCTGAAAAGAGCCGTTTGGGTTTGCAAGCTGAGAAGCTGCTTATTTCTTGGCTGCCTTCTTGGCTGCGGGCTTCTTGGCGGGCTTAGCCTTCTTGGCGGGCTTGGCTGCTTTCTTTGCGGGCTTGGCTGCCTTCTTGGCGGGCTTGGCTGCTTTCTTGACAGCAGGCTTCTTGGCTGCCTTCTTGGTGGCAGGCTTCTTAGCTGCCTTCTTGGCGGCAGGCTTCTTGGCAGCAGGTTTCTTCGTCTTGGATGTCTTCTTCTTGGCTGCCTTCTTGGCCTTCTTGTCAGCCGCCTTGGCCTTCTTGTCAGCAGCTTTCTTGGCCTTCTTGGCTTTAGCCTTCTCCTGCGCTACCTTCTTCTTTTCCTTGGCAGCTGCCCTCTTCTTCTTAGCGGCCTCAGCAGCAGCGACTGCCTTGACATTCAGCTTGAAGGATCCGTTGTATCCCTTGCCTTTCACCTGCACGATTTTACCGTCGGCAAGCAGCTTCTTAGCGGCCCTCTTCAGAGAAGCATCCACCTTGTCAGAAACTTTGTAATTAGCTTTGACGTACTTGGTGATAGCTTGAGCAGAGACTGGCTTGCGAGGTTGGCCGAGATTCTTCAAAGCATCCAAGATCATGTCGGTGCCCTTGGGCCCTGCTGGCTTCCGGGGCTTGGATGGCTTCTTGGCGGGCTTTGCAACTGTTTGCTGAACATCAGCCATGATGGTGACAATTTGGGAGTTCACTTCAACAACGTAGAACACCTGTTGGTAAAATTGATTGAATGCTCGAAGTACGGGCATACAGACGATCATATACACTCAATGCGGACGTTTGAGAAATCACAGATTACGCGCACACAGTGCCTGAGTACAGAGCGCGCCTTTCATTGCACAATGACATTATGGCAAAGTTCTGTGTTAGTACGTAGTTTTTAAAGTCAGATTTCTGGATTATTGAATGCAAAATGGTGATATTTTCTAAATGCTCATGTAGAAAACAAGCTGCAATTTCTAATAATACCGGACAATTCAGCGGTGCGACGTTTAGATCACTCCAAAAAACTGTAAAAATAAGAAAGTAAAAAATATTTCACTAAATCGTAAAAATAAACTATTTTTCTACAAAACTAACTAGAGCTTACAATTATTATGACTATACATACTGAAAACATATTCCCTCATTTAAATTATATCTAAAATTCATACTGATTTTGTTTTGTCTTCGGATGTTTTTGAGCTCCCAAAGTTGGTGCTCAAAGAAACAAAATCTTGGCGGCGGCCATATTTCCGTCACAAGCTGCGACTTCCGTACTCCATTTTGTGCTGAAAAAGTACCATTATTCATGAAACGAAAATGGCTTTATATCATTACAGTTAATTTTTGAGTTTTCTTAATTTACTGGGAATTTGCTTTTCGATTTCTATCTGAAAAGACTACTGAACTGAAAACCATGCCAACTTGATGCAAAGCGACCCGGGCCGCTGCCATCTGCCATCTGATCGCGACATGTCAGTCCGCCTGGTTTATGGTATGGTCATGCTCTCGTTGGAATCGATCATTTTTAGAAGTTTTTGCGTTTCAATGCCTGAAATTCCTTTCCCTGATGAAAAAATACTTTAGCAAATCTACCCAAAGGTAACATAGGCCTACTTTTGACACTCCAACCCACAACACTTGAATTTATAGCCGGGAACTCTACGGCACCACCGTACGTATAGTCCACAGTGTGAATCACAGGAGAGTCCATGATGCTAGAGCCTGAAAGTCTGAAAACTCACTTGCGCCATCATATGGAGCAAATTTCTGAGCGGAGGATTATTTTCCACAGAATCTGAGAATTAGTTCTATGAACATTAGAGAAAATTATACTTCTCATCCGTACACACGAACCTGTGGAATAACACTTTTTTGTGATCTTTATTTTACTCTCTCCTTTTTAAAAATTGTCTCAAAGGACCCCGGTCAGACCACTGAACGGTGGCACCGTCCCAGCCTCACGTCATCAATTGAATAGTTCATTTCCGCGCAGCATATTGCTCAAGTTCCGATTGAACGTTTATACCTTCATTGAAGAAAGGATCACAATTTCTTTAGAAAACTGCTTCTAGTGAATAATATTTGTTTTTGGTTTCCTGTCTTAACTCTGTAAACCCAACACGAATAGGTGAGCGCGAAAAGAGATCAAGGTGTCAAACTCACTGGAATGTTTTAACTTTCCGAACTATAGAATGATATCAACTTCGGTCGGGGCAATGAAAATTAAATGATGTCTGAGGTGGAAATCAAGGATGTAACTAGCTCTGTCTGAATTTCATAGATAATTCTATAAAATTTCTTTTTTTCAAAAGAATCGTGTTTAGTTAACTCAGCTCCTTGAGAAACTAAAACGAACTCATTGAGACAACAAGCTAAACATTCCTCATTCAGGAATTATTTGTTCAACCCAAGTTTTAGGTAGGTTATTTTTTCCATTTCGTTTTTCGTCTGGCGAAAAATTAAACACGTGTACTGATATCAAAAATTAAAATAATATAATTAAAAAATTGTCTCCTTCCAAAAATCAATTCAGCACCCCTCCCACGGTCCGTGGTGATCATGGTATGCGCCCCCGGCCCGCCATCAGATCGATCGACCGCACGAAGTAAATTAAACCAAGGCTTGCTTTGCTGCTGCAGTGACAAACCCAGGTTGTGAATGGCTCTGCGGAATTTAAACTTAATTCATTGCAACATCATGTTTTACGAATTTTACATGGTTTCAGTTTAAGATGGTGTGAAATCCAACTTGGTGATTTTTTCGCCGTACAGTGCATGCCTTGAAATACATGTACATGTAATGAGGTTATCTTTCAAACTTTCAAATTGTCAGTCCACACGGAAGCTACGTTAATTCACTGTGCTCTTATTGTAGTGTGATTCTAAGCGAAGAGGAAAATTTCCCAGACTGGGGGCCGGGGGGGGACTCAGAACTGAAAAAGTAGGGCTGAGTTTTGACATAACATTCTCAAGTTTTAAGGGGTAAATTCACTTTGGTTATTTCCAAGGGGTAAATTCACTTTGGTTATTTCCAAACATAATTATTATTCATGATCTGACGTCAAGCATGTTTCGGCTTGGGATTGGTCAGTCCCGTTGCCGTGAGTAATGCGAAAATAAGGCACCTCTGCACAAGTCATCTGTTTGTTATTGTGACTGTCATTTTTCCCATTTTCTCAACAACACTGTCTTTGTGCTTTTTATTGCTTGTCACGTATTGATAAGATACAGAAAAGTGACCATTTCACCTTAGAAATTGAAGCTTTAAGGCTCTCGGCTTTTTTCAAATTCAAAACAATATTTGTTAAATAGAAAACTATGTATGGCAATAGTTCAATTTTTTAATAATATCCTGACATGAAGTGGCAGATTATATTTTCAAATCACTGCATTAAAAGTTGAAAGTACAATCTTCAGCAAAATGAGAGTTTAAAGACAGCAGAGTGAGCTATAAGCTTGAAAAGGGACATTGAAAAGGAGGATAAAGCACTGAGAATTTAATGTGGGCGGGCTACTCATCGACGACCCAGCGGTCACCCAAACCATGCAGACACGGTCCAGGTCAAATTACGTAACAGAGGATGACCTGAATATGATTAAGTGCAACCTTCCGTTCTGTGTGATTCAGCCCATTTCAATCAGCGCTTGGTTTTTTCGCCACAGTGATTGGAAATAGGAGGAACATTTGCAGAGACTAATTGCCAACTTATACACTTACATGTATATAGTTACTACAGCTCTTGGGAGGACGATTGATTTGTAGTTTTCACTGCATGTGGAAAAGACCTGTAAAATGAATTGAATTGCCTTTGGTTTTGAGTTTGTATATGAGTATATAATGTAGTGTCTCTAGACCCCCAAACTGACTAGTCTAAGCCCTCTTGTCCTACCTCCATGGTCTGAGTAACTCCTGTGCCGCTCATGAGAGTTGTACTGAAAATGTTCAAAGATTTGGTTGGTTTGCCGAGTAAATCTTGAACAAATTGCTACATTTGATACAGCACAGCACATTTACAACTAATGCAAATTAAACAAAAACGCACATTACAATGTTTCCTCAAAGAATCATAACAAAGTTGTAAATGAAAAAAAGCTTCAAAATCGGAATACACACGCTTTTTCTAAATGTTGTCATTTCAAGTTTTTAATGCATAGCGGCGAAATCACAATGCGAGGCTGTTGGCAGGCTGAAAATTCTGCACGAATCTTTCTACCCATCAAGAAAGCGAAGTGTAACAATTCTGCACCCTCACTGTCCTCAGCTGATGAAAATGTTCCAAACTCGTCAGATGTTTCATCCTAGACCCAGATGGTGTCGTAAATGACGAATGCATCATTTATTAGACGCCAGTTAGGCTGGGAATTGCGCTGGAAATGCCTTGAAGACTCGACGTTGTCGCTTGCGTCTACTCGTAATTTCCATGAGATCAATGAATGACGTGTTACATCCTGTCATTCGATTGCGTCCTTCGTCACCAACCATGGCAATATTTTGTAGTTAGTGAATTTAATCTAAGTTGTGGATGGTGCTTCGAGAGGATGGGAAACGAAGACGCCAAGCGGAGGTGCAGCTAATCGACATGTACAATGTGTGTTTGAAAGGTTCAGAGAGAGCAGCAAAAAATCTACTAGAAATCGAAACAAACCTTAATGTTCTGATCACAGACTTTTATTGTTGACAATTCAAAGACACGTAGATGTATTCTAAGGAATCTAAAGCCACGTAATCCCTGCCGTCATCCTTGTTTCCTCTGAGCTCCTATCCAGAAGACAATAATTACATGTATATTTAATGCAAGGTTTTTGAAGGAAAAACACATTTGGTTCCAGGCGCACGCAACGGCAAGGCCGAAAAATTTAGTCGCGTTGTGCAAGACAAAGAAAAGGATGGGGGTTAAAGTCAACGTGTCAGAGGGTACCATCTGGTAACCTTTGACCTAATACACAGGAAGGAGGAAAATTTCACAAAAGTCATTTTGATCATATACATTTACCAAATTTAATCACCAAAAGTTGCATCATCAAAATTTCGTGAACCGTTTTCATAATACAACCTAACTGTATATTACATATTTTTTCGTGTAGCTATTATCGTGAAAGTACTGTTTAGTAAAATCATGACAAAAATATTTAATTAATAACAACAAATATTTGTAATTTTTATGATTACTTTCTTGCATTAAAATGCGTAAATAAGTCCCTCATTCAGGACTGTAGACCCACTAAACCTGACACTATCTCATAGTTTTAAACATGCCCATTCAAAAGGCTACAATTGTTACAGAAAAGTGTGAGGAATTATTATTGCATACAATTTTGACGAAGAAGGGCAGATCCTGAGGCTAAACTCAGAGGCTGTTTATATGTTTAAAGTTGTCCTAACATCAGCCTCACATTTTATTCAATGGCTTTACTTGCCTCTCCCAGGATCTGCTGATGACTAACAAGAACATGACCAAAACGTTACTGGGTCTCAGAGTAGAGATTACTTCGTTAAAACCACCAAAAGACTATAAACTGGTGGGTTTCTATTGCCACGACCTAAATGGCACTTTAGGCTGTGGCTACAAACATTTCCTCTACCAGAATAATAATGGAATATCCATAGACACTTTAAAAAACACTAAAATTCAGTTACACCCTTCATAAAAATAACAGGAACATATATATGAAGAATGGTCAATTATCTTTCATTGAACAAGGTCAGATAACATCCAAACATCCACACAGATCCAAAAATAACACAATAATGTTTGAGTTGGCTTAGAAAATTTTTGTCTGGACAGGAGACCAAAGCCATGTGATAGGGTTGTGTGTAAGTAAGCTAGAGCCAACTAAATCAGCAAACGGCCTCAATTTCAGAGACATGCCAAGTACCACTGAAAATACTTGGTTACCAGCCAACCTGTATTGCAGTCTTAGAGAGTTATGACTGTATTCTGCTGCTTTCTGCTAAACTGAACAGTTTCTGCTTGGCTTCTTCATGAAACTGGGATTTGACTTCAGGAATGAAGGAAAGCAGAAACATCACTTCATTTAATATTTCATTGGATGGAAACAACAAGACAAATATTCATTCCCTGTATTCTAATTGGCTGCAGTCAGATGTAAGCACAGATGTGGCGTAAAGGTCAGCGTTTAAAAGCTGAGGCCGAGTGCCGCTAATCCTGTGAAGATGAGAATGATGAGTAGGAATGCTCCAACGAACATCAACCATGCTGGAAATTCCACTGGAATGTAAACAAAGAAGGAACATAAAGTAGAAACAGACCCAGAATAATGGATTTTGTACTCAGGGGCAAACATTTTGTAGGTTTGTTAATAGGTTTATCATTTTTTTTTCTCAAAACAACTTAAGTGTAACACTCCAGAATCTGCAAGTAGAGGCAAAGCTTACTTGGGGGTTCCAAGGCAACAATGGATACTTTCTTGTCAGCGGATACGCTCAGCACAGCTGTCTCAAGGTCTCCGAGTAGGTCACGCGTTGTTCTTGTCATCGGAACAAAACAGAGTCCTGTCACAAAGATACCGTGCACATCTTTCACCACACGCAATTTCTGATAACAAATAAAAACAGCAATGACAAGATTATTTCACTTCTCACGGTCCAAGGGGTCAAAAGCTTTGACATCCAGGTCCATGACTATCTACAGTTGTCACAAAGGTATGAAGAAAACTGAAAGCCATCCAGAAAAGAACTCCAATGCTTCAACAAACTGAAAAAATTGATGAAAAAAAGTGATGAATGAATAAGAGCATAAACACACTGTACGCAAGGCTTGCATTTCTGCACATGTAGTACATGTCATAGCAAGCTTACCTGCAAACTGAAGGAGATATAGACGCCAATGGAGCCAGACATTGTGCCTAGACCGACCAGATTACCACTGTGACTGTCACGGGAAAAAGGAGGGCAAATTATTAGTAATTGATTTATATATAAAACTATTTCTAGTGACTGATGAGGACATGGTCTTTCATAATGCTCATTATTGGGCCAAAGAAAATTTCAAATGTGTATTAAAATATCCACACAGATGTGAAATTTCAAAGGTACATGTAGCAGGTTTAAACCCAACATCAGTTGGTTTTCTTTGTCCATCAAAAGTTGATTACTAATGAACCTTACCAGTTTCTGTCTGTGGAACAATGATATTATAATTGTGATGAGTTTTATGGTCTTGAAAATGTTCCATCTTTTATGTAAGACATTTCAGAAGGATAATTTAGGAAACAGTAATACTATTCACATCTAGCTTGTCACACTTACAGATGCCAACTTTAACTCACCTAATATTCAAAGCTGACAAGACATCAGTTCCCGTGCAAACGGTCTTTTCTGGTGTGTACTTGATGGCATTCCATCGAGTGAGGTAAGAAGACTTCGTCTTGCCCTGGATGCGAGGGATGTGGATGGTGTACATGTTGGACTTGCTGGGGTCGCTATCAATAAAGCCAAACCTGACAGAGAGGAGCATAACAACTGATATTTCATTCGTCTCTTCTTGAAATCAAACTTTGTGAATACAAGAGCATACATTTGAAAACTGGACACAACACATTCAGTTCTAGTGCAGATTCAACTGGTTCCCAACACCCTCAACCTACCTACAGCACCTAACTCTGTAACTGGTAGTCTGCTCAGCCTTTACCCCATCCCATTTCAGATCGCACATTTTGCTGCCATCCACTGTTTTCCATACGATGGCTGTTGAGTCTCTGGACACAGATACCAGCTAAAAACAGCATGCAAAAATTTATGAAAAAAAACAATCATTTTCATGGGCTGATCTGGGGGGAGGGCAAAAAAAGAGACAACGGGCAGATTTTTAGGGGGAAAAATAATGGACAGTAAATTTCATATCCCTTTCTTCATAGAGTGTGTAAAAAGCCCCAAAATGGAGCTTCACCCCTCAGAAAGACCATAAAAGGTTACATGCAAAAATTTCTGAATTTATTTGACCCCTAACAAGTTTGACCCCCTCCCCCCTTAAAATTTGGTAATGGATTGGCAATTGGTTACTGCAATCATCTTGCTGTCCCGGGAAAGCATTAATCCTGAACTCCGCCTTTGTTGCATAAAATAGACAGGATTGTTCGCTATAAACAGAGAAGTACAAAGGAGACGTCAAAAACTTACCCTGTTTCCTAGAGGGTTTATGATAATATCATCCACTTCTTTGGAGTGAGCTTTTATCTCGTACTGTTTCTCAAATGATGGATACTGTGATGGAATGCAGATCAAAAAATGAATAAGGTATCTTTTGGAGGTACGTGTACATGTATTTTGGTATTAAACTCACATTTGACTTTTTAGTCAAAAATTTTAGAACACAATTTGATACTTTCCTTCCCTGGATTTTTATCCAGATTTATCAGTCACTTTCCTGCTTAATAATTCTCAGTAGCAAAAAGTACAACTGTCAAAACAATTCCTGGCTAACAGCTCAAAAATTGATTTTGAGATAACAAACTCCTACATTTGGAAGCAGTTTTACCACAAATGAACCTTCAACCATAGCAATACTACACTTGAAGCAGCCTTTGTGTTGGTCATTGTTTGATCGGAATCTCAGGAATTCTTTACAGACTTCTAGGGGGATATGTTTGGCAACAATAGTCTAGAGTGTGTATAGGGACTTGACAGGTAAGGGGGGTTACCCTCCATCCCTTATCTTGCTTAGCATACAAGACTGTAACTTACAGACCACATTCTGACATGTCCGTCTGCGCCTCCAGTGGCAAAAAACATTCCGTTCGGTGAGAAGCAAACTGCTTTCTGATATTTGTCTCCATCTGTGAAATCTGTCTGAACCGATCCTAATCTCTCGAGGTCAAATTTGGTGACAACTACAGCTGGTTCCTGTGAGGAAGTCTTCTCTGACTTGGTAGTACTCTCTTTGGATTTATTGCTGTCTGCAGTCTGCTTGGCTTCTTTTGCTTTCTTGCGTTTTCTTGTGCTACCTACAAATACAAGTTCAGAAGTACAGGCCTTCTATAAAATGTCAAGCTCAGAAAATTGAATCTAAAACTTCAGATCCATATTTATTATAAATTACACACATTTACTCGAGCTTTTTCTTTTAGGGAGAAAATATCAGGTGCCTAACTGAAGTCATTAGATAAAGTTGGAGGTTGGAATTCAAGCAAGCACTGTATGCAATTTGGACTCAAAGGAATACGAATTCTGGTCATGTTGCTTTTTTTCATTATTCATAATTGGAGACCATTTCCACACATGCAGACCTAATGCTGCAATTCCATGAAGAGGATTTCACCCAACACAACACTGAATGACACTGCATGAAGCGAGTGTTCGGATAATCTTGGTTATCATGAGACCATTTACTAAGTCTAGTAACCTGTGTCATTCCCATTGTTAGATGTCTGGTTGGGTTTTGGCTCCTCTTCGCCCTCTTTCATTGCTTCTTTTGTTTTGACAAACTTGTAAAATTGGCATTTTTCATCTTTTCCTGCTGCCAGAAGATACTCTTTGCCGTCAAATCTGAGAGACGAACAAACCAATAACCAATAAACTGCAAAGAAATATTACATACTAATATAAGGCTGTGTAAACCTTACACATGAATATTGGGGGGGAGAGTGATAAATACAGTGATGTCTTTGGCCCATTTCATTTCTCTTTCTTCTAAAAACCCCAAAGTGTAGCCCCTACCCTACGATATGCAATACCAGGCTACGTTAAAATATTTTTGCTTCCCCCCCCAAAAAAAAATTTGGTCCCACCCCCACAAAAAAAATTTGGTTCTGAATCTGCCCTTGGTTATGCCCTTGACAGGCAAAACTGACCCAATGAAAGAAGTGATGGTTGAAATTCCAATTCCACAGACAGAGTTGCTGTGTTCAGACAGACACTTTTGTAGGGTCTTGCTATTCAACGTCAACACGTCCAAAATTCAGTAAAATTCAGCTAAGAGGCACAGAACTTTAATATTTGCTAACAAGAATTTTTGGGTTACATTCCAACTTTGAAAATGGAGTATTTTCACACACAAAAAATTTATCTCTAAGCAGTCTAGTCGTTGACCGCCACTTTGCCTTCTAACGGAACTCGGGCTATACCATGTATTTCAGAGGTGTTGACAGTGTGACATGTTGATGGTACTGTTGACAGTGTGTTGACAGTAATTAGTAAAACTGCTTTTAAGGAAATCCTTGGGCTAACCTTAGGGCAGCATTCATAATGGCAGCCCTGTCCTCGCCTACATCCGTGTCATACTGCAATTTGCTGTCTGCAAACAAGCGTCGCCCTCTCCTTTGCAATTCAAAGATTTCCTTGTCACCAAATATAAACAATAAAAAGCCAGATGATTACCAAATTAGGACAAATATTGACCTCCCTAAAAACGTGCCCAATAAGAAAGATAAGATTTTGGTGTATAATCAACCAAGCAAGTGGCATCAGGATCACCTTTCTTTCCAAGACTTCCATATGTGTTTAATAGCTGCGACAGTCCGACATGTCCGAGTAAGTGAAGGCCTATTATTGTTAATTACTAATAAGTAAGCCTAGGCCTATGGAACTCTTTCCTTATTATGTACTAGTACTAGACAGACCCCAGGTCGAGCTAGGCCTAAAGTAGTACCACTACCAGTGCTATATGCCCATGCCTATCATGCCTATCAATAGTATTATATCTGTTAATCGCCTCACCATGTCCAAGAGTTAAAAGGCGAGTCAAAGTTACTCAGACTAGTTTAGCCTACAAAGTACAAGTCCGTGTACCCCAACACCACAAGTTCATAACATTAACACAGGCATGATATCGATAGGCTCCATGATACATGGTGTCGAAAATAAAAGCATTTCGGTACACATAAACGCTTCGTTACCATTTACTCTTAAATTAAAAACAAATAGGCCTAACTCCCAAAATGCCTGTAACTTGGTAAAAAAATTATGGTTTTCACAAATGACGACTTACTATAAAATTTGGAACTCCAGTTCTGGCGTGTCCGCCTCCTCCTGCGACAAGAAAGTGAGTTTCGTCGACGCATTTTATGACATACGGAGGAAAATCTAAATCGGCTAAGTGTGTCGCCATCTTGCTCGCCACGATAGCATTACTGGTATCTTGTCACGTACCCGGTTCTTCATACATAAAAAAATAGTAACCAGCTTTATTCTGTTATCCTCTTTCGCAAGATTAAAAACTTGTTATTGACTGAAATTAATCATATTTTTCCTTACTACTAAAGGGTAATTCAAGATGAAATAGTGTGTACGAAGAGGTATTTTGTTCAAATATCTGTACTTATACGACAATTAAGAAGAAATGGCTATTTCCGTAGCAACGTTGACATTGTATCACGTGACAGTTCACCGGCGTAACACAGCGACGTGCAATGTGCGTATATGCTATTAACACGGTGCAGGTGCTGTGAAATTTTAACGAGCACCGAAGATGCATGTGTATTTATGGACAGGAAGATTTTAAAAATTTACGTTTTGCATACCAGCTACCTGTTGCATCAGAGGTAAAATTAAAAGGTAATCTGAGGACTCGGAGATCTTTCGTCGTTAATTCATAATTGTGCTAACTTGTTGCACGATGTGGACCTGAATAATTTAAACTCAGAAAAAGGCAGCGTAACTAACATCAGACATTGATATGCCTAGGCCTTGTCACTATTCGCCATGCATGATGCCTTAACATTTTTTAGGCCTAGGGCCGCCCTGTAACTATGCATGATTCCTTCTTTATGTTTTGTCGATGATGAAATGGAGTTGGAGTTAGAGCGAGGGGAGGCCTATCACTAGGATCATATGCTCCAGTAAATTTTTGTGCATTCTATGTAACTAAATAAAAATAACATTAACAATGAACAGCTTTTCAAGGCACCAGTGATGCATAACCATGTGAACAGTGTAGGCCTAGTGCACGATGTTTAGTGTCAAAACTACAGTCATGACATCAAGTCATGACGGTCATGATTGCAAAGTTGGTGACTACACTAGAAACACTACACTACACTGGTGCAGACATGGCAGAGTACTAAATTTAAGGCATGATTGGTTAATACGTGGGATTGCTCAGTCTTTTTGTAGTAATTACACCCTAGGCCTAACCGTAGTTGATGTTGATTTGCAGGGTTTGTCAATAATTCAGATTCACGGTTGTGAAAGATTCTGTTTTATCATTTAGGCCTAAGGCTACCAGTAGGCCTAGTTATTTTAGAAAATGTTAGAAAATTTCAGAAAATAATGGTAATCAACAGAACTGATCACATGATTTTCTTCTTCAGATTCAGGAGTGAACACCTACAGTGGACAGGCTAATTTAAGTGTGTGTACGGTCAAGTCACCTAGACTACGGTTGCCAAAATGAGTGACGGATCCAAGAGACAAGGGATGCTAGTCCATTAACTTCTTCATTTTTACCTCAAACCGTGTCTCTGATCACGTTGGAGTGGATGTGTATCTTCTATTGGAAAATGCCTGGTTGATCAAGTTGAATTCAAACATTAGCACGGATCAGATTGAACCAGTATCCTGACAACATGGTAAAGTTAACTGTCGATTTGATTGCTCGGATGTCGAGCAGCACAAGGAAGAAGAGAGAGGAGAACCTTCAGCAGTATCTGAAGAAGTTGACCCACTTATCCTTTGCTGAGAAGAACATTGATGAAATAGTAAGTCACAACTACTTTTCCAAAATGCAGTCATATCATGAGTGAAATTGTATTTTGTTCAATCCTTTTTGGAGTTAATAAAAATCAGCTTTTTTGGTAGTCTTAATGGGACATTTTAGCAAGAATGAAATCTTGAGATAAGACTAAATACACTGATAAATACAAAATTGAACTTTCTCTTTCAGGCCAGTGATAAAAACTTGGCTTGATGTGCAAATGAAATTTTCGTTCAGAAGTTTGCGAGAGAAAACAGAAATTTAATCAAATTCTAAAACCATTGAAAAGCTGACAAATTTGTAAAAAAAATTGACACATTTAAGAAGCTTTCAGGAACTTGAAACATTACAACTCTGTACACCTTATATATGTAGTTAGAAACTTAATCTCTGATACAAAAAAACATCGAGCTCAGTAAACACTAGTCTCACTTTGTCTTTACCTCATGGTGTCCACACTTCTTTCAATGGTGGTGGCTTTTGTTACATACTTACTAAAAGGTTTCAGTGTAAACAGTAACAGGTTGTACAAATATTTACACAAAGTTCTATGTGGGTATTTGTTATTCTGCTTATCATCAGCAGTGCAATAAACCGGTCATGGCAGTTAGTTTGAATGCAATTGGGGTCTTGGTTTCTAGGTAACTAAAGAAATGAATGGACAAAGTTGCACCTTGGATGCAGTGTGCAGCCAAGATTAGTCCAGGCGTTGGAAAATTGTGTTTGAAATTTTGAAAGCATGCAGTGGCCAAAGCTCATCAAAGTTAATTGTTGAGATTTCAGGGCAATTCCTGACATGATAGGAATAGACCTGTAATGTCAAAATTTCAAATGGCATTTCCCAGTGAACTGCTCACATTGACTGTACCTGCAAGGTTTAAAGGTTACAGAACAAAAAAAACCCAGAGACTCATTCAAATTTTAATTTTAAAAACTGTTACTGTTTTAACACGTATGAACGCAGCTGAATTTGACAGAACACATCAGTGGTCAAAGTTCATTATATTTTATTGCTATTGCAGGCTACCTCGAGAGAACCCAATAAGGATTAGGGTTTTGATCTTCAGTGTTTTGTCTTATCACTGTATTTTGGCTAGCTTTGAAATTCATCACTGTACGAATAGAAGCTAATGGCATTTTCGCATATTCATGTTTGCAGGATGACCTATCGCAGTGTCGGAATCTCTCTGTGCTGTATCTCTATGACAACAGCATCGCTCAGATTCCCAACCTGGGCTTTGCTGCCAATTTGACTCATCTTTATCTACAAAACAACCAAATCCGACAAATCGAGAGGCTATCACCACTTCAGAAACTTGCCAAACTGTAAGTTGACTCATTCTTCTCGTACTTGTTTGGGTTGCTGCCAGTTAAACATTTTTCCCAAGAGAGTAAAAAACATCTGGTTACCATTCTTGCATAAATAAAGGATGAATTTATTCAGAGAGATTTTTCTGTTGCTGGACAACACGCATGTACGTTTCTTGTTCCATAAACAGGTACCTAGGGGGCAACTGTATAACAGTAGTTGAAGGTTTTGAGAAACTTGAACAGTTGAAGGAACTGCACTTGGAACATCAGAGAATACCCAAGGGAGAAAAGCTGCTCTTTGACCCACGATCTCTTGCCTCACTCTCGGTAAGATCATCAAACTTCTCTAATAATTAGACAGTTCTTCGAACTTTTTAAAATTTCCTTTGGCAAGCATGGAGCCTGAGGAAGGAAAATGGCAAAGAAAGAAATTGTATGGAAAATAATACTACTAAACTACTTGTAGCAACCATAATTCACTGAGGCAGTGGCATACATGTAGTCATAGAGAAGCAACATGTTTAACGCTAAAAGCATTTACAATCATGCACATGAATTGTTACCTTTTAGATTTGTCTGCAAGTCTTAAATGTCTCCGGCAACAATTTAGATGACATCACAGACCTGCGCCTCCTTCAGAAACTCTCCCAGTTCCTATGCAGTGATAATAAACTCCGAGATCTCAAGACATTGGGCAGCGTCTTGAGCTGCTGGCCACACCTCTGGAGGCTGGAACTGGCAGGAAATCCATTAAGTCAAAAAGCCAAATATAGGGACAGGGTCATCGTAATGAGTGGAACATTGGGTGAGTTGAAAACAGGACAGTTATATCCTAATCCTGATTGCTGATGTATGATTAAGACATTCATAACTACCTCAGTCTCCTTATTCAACAATGTGCAACTTGACCGTGTATTACATTTGATAATGCCCGCTGCATAAATCACGAGCTGGAAGCTGGGTACAAGACAGTTTAATCAATTCTGATTGGTCAAGAGTCTATGTGCATGCGGCTTGCTATGCGCACACCAATTGGACAATTTTCACAAGGAATATTCCATAAAATGGACGGGGGCGTTTGGGAAAATGAAAGTAAAATTCAGAACAAAATCGCTGGAAATCCATCATATATGGACTTCTTTTGACTCTCAGACTAAAAAGGTGTTTATGAATGGAAATAATTAAGTGCTTGGTTGATCTTAAACTAATGTTTAAGACCTCGCTGAGGAAAACAAACGCTAAGAATGTCCTCACCTGCGGCTCAGCCACTAGTCGCGTCTGTTCTCCTTAGCCTGTGTTAAATGCACGCTTAATTAAGACTGGCCAAGTACATTTTATTCTCTTATCAATATCACGCTGCCTAGCATAGCTTGGGTATGGTTTATTAAGCAGTACACTCAACTCATTTGAGTAGTAGGTTTCAAGCATCACTTATCAGATTTTTATTCTCAAATGTGACATTTCATTTAATATTGAAATAGCCATTGAATTTTTAGTGCTTCTCATTAATTTTTCCCCAGCTGTCTTAGATGGAAAAGAGATTAACCAGACAGAGAAGGCTTTCCTGATGAGTTGGAAAGAAGCAAGAGAAGCTAAGAGAAAACAACGAGAAGAGGTTGAGCAGATGAGGCCAGAACTAGATGGGATGGCACCACCATTACCTATTGCTGGATCAGGTAGGCCAGACTGTTGATAGGGTGTAACGATGCCCATTGTGTTTTGTGTTAATCCTATAAACCTTGTATTTTATCTCACTCATCCAAAATGGCTACACTGGAATTTGTCAGAAAACACCACACGTAATTTATGATGTTCCAACTGGACAGATTTGTGAAAATTATGTAGATTTTCAAATGTTAAATACCTGAAAAAGGACATTAATCACAGTTTACACTTTCCTCTTAAGGACCGTCTTTTATCTTCATTATAAAAAAAACCAGGTAGGGAATTACCCCCTGTCATGCCACCCAAAAGCTCCAAATCCAAGCAGAGTGGTCTGAAGAATATCTACATCATGCCTAGTATGGTTGGAGGCAAGAAGAGATTTGAGGCAGTCTTGGCTAAGTCTCAAAGTTTACCAAATTCTGCCTCCAAGCTGAAGGGGGATTCGACGGTGCCTGTCCGACAGATTGTAGCACCAGGAGTACTGAAGAAAAGCCATAGTGACTTGGAACGCTCAGCAAGGTAAAAGGTTGTAAGAAATGTCATCAAAAATTTAAGCAGTTCGGTCTGTCCAGTCAGTCGTTCCGTTTCATTTAAGTTTTGTTTGCAGAAGTTTTTATGTTCATTCTTTTCTTTCTTGACATTTATTGGTTTGGTCTTTAGGTGCACATCAGTGAAAATGTGCTTAAGATGTTTTGAAACAGAAAAAAACGTGCTTAACATTAACAATGCATACGTAGACAGAGAGCTAACTTAACACAATTATCAGTAGCATTTTGCTGAACTTTTTTGACAGAGCAATGATTCACGAGTCAAGGCATTTCAGCTACCCAGATGCATCAGGTCTTGATCTGGCCAACAGCAAAGTACATCCTAGTATGAATGGAAATCACATAGTGCCTTCAAGCATCTTGCTTTGAACAGGAGAGGCCTGTCTGCATCAGGTTGTCAAGATATGCAACACCTGCCTGCAAGCCATTGTAAGGAGGGACTGTTTGTGAATGTGTGACGTTTGGCACATTCTGATTAAGGTGACTTTAATCAAAAGAACGTAATTGGAAAGTTTGAATATTTTCAAGTGCTGTGAGGATTGCTCCACTTAATGAGAAAATTCCTTTCACAAATTTGGATTCCAGTTATCTGGTGCCCAGTTTGATGTCATTTAGAATTCTGAATTCATGTTGGAGGCAACACGCAGCTTTTCTGAGTTTCAGAAACTAGGTTTTTAAAGCAATGTTGGGAATAGGACCAATAAAATGAGAACATTCAGAGCAGGCAGCAGGATGTTTCTTCAAATAGAAACTGGCTATACTCTGTATGATATATGCAATGCAGCCATATATTTGGGCATTGAAACAATTCAGCCAGTGGTGAGTTCCCTAATCCGTCCAAGTTAACAAATTTAACACCGTTTGCCTTTTGCAAGGTTTTGTATTCAGAGAAATGCTTGATGCAGAGGAAATATATGAAATAATTCTGTGCATTTTGTTATTGAAGAATTCAATAATTAAGCTTGTTTGATTGTCAGAACTTTAATGTGTGCCTTCTCAAGACGATATATATTTATGTATATCTGTGACGTAAACAGCTTTTTTTAATGATGCATCTGACATTTTTAAAATAATTTCCAACATTCTTCCTTCATTTCGTGTTTGTATGTGTTGAGATTTTGCAACTTGCAAAGTTAACGGTCAACAGGAACATTCTTCAACTTATGAAACATGCCATTTGCCATCTGCAAACAAGGCTAACAGTATTGTCAAAAAAAGCAACAAACAAGGTGACAAACTAAAATAGATAAGATGTTATGAGAAACATGAATTTTTATAATTTGCTTTAAATAAAAAGTGAAATTTTAAAATGTGTCATAAGGCAGTACAATGATTAAAAATTCAAGTACATTTACGTTATTCTCAGCAAATACAATTGTATAAAATTTACAACGTCAGTTTTGTTGTGAATGCAAATGAAGATTTGAATTCTGTTCATTTTCCTCCATGGAATCTGGTCCTGAAAGAGCTTGTAAAAGCTCAACTGTCAAAAATCAGTTTCCAGAAAACTACATCTCTTGAGGGCTTGTTGAGAATAATTTTCATATTAAATCCAATATGGCAGATGTATTTGTTGTGTAAATGTTGCTAAATGTTGCATGAAATATAAAAGCCGTTTTGCATGAACTACGCAAGTGTGTAACGACTTCTCTGCTCAAATATACTGGACCAAGGCCCAACTTTTTGGCCATAAACCAAGTTCATAAAACACTCATAACACACCAGAATTCAAATAAATCAACGGTGTCTACTTGCAATTTTTGGAAGTATTACAAGCATTTAAGAGCCACTGGTATGACGGGCATTTCTTTAGTATCAAAAGACATGGAGAGTGTAAAGAAAGTCAAGCTAAAAGACTGCTGCTTTAAAAATAGGAGCACAAGAAGTTTTCATTGTTGATGTAGAAATTACATCGCCGCACAGCGGCACTTTAAAAAAATGGCACCAGTAGCTCCTGAGCTCTTATGATCAAAGATAAACAAGCACAATAGACGTTAACTTATGTAAAATGCTGGGTAATTGAAATTTTCTATGGCAAGGAAAGAAAACCATAAAGGTCAACCCTACTTAAGGTGGACGGATATCTTGTGTTTAAAAAGTACTGCATGCCATGCAATGCAATGCACAGTATACTGGACTGAGCATTGCAAAACCTTTTATTTACAGGTTTGTTCGTCGTTGATATACAAGGTGTAATAAAACATTGCAATAAAAAGACAACAGATTGTTGTTATTTTCTAAGTTGTAATTTTGAAATTCTTTGCCGAGACATGCTGGATTCCTGAAAATCTTAATTTGTCCTATTTATTGCTGGAGGAATATCTTTAGAATATGTGTTGACAGCCTCATTAAAGCTTTCCGCCAAGCAAATGCAAAATTGAAAAAAATGACTGAAGAAATGACACAACTCAATACTCACAAAACTTCTGTACACTGGCCGAGGTAAACTCACGATTCAGGTTATCAATCAATCAATAAATAAAGAAAAAGCTTTTGTTTCAAGAAACTGTACAGTATTCACATATGCAATATAAAACCTCACTCACCTGACATATTGCAGTGCTTTCTATACTTCAAGCGTAACCAATGTTTACATTCAACATTTATGTGCAAATTACTGTGGCCTGGGATTGGGTTTGGGATCTAAGGTATGCAGTGTAAGCTAGTAGATCTCTTGAAGGGACATCTTTTTTTGGTGAAGACTGTTTGCTCTGCAATACCATTTAAAGCCAGCACCACAGGTATCCAAGAAGCGTGGGCACTTGCAAGCATGTTAAACTGTCCTCTCAGTGTGGTTCATCTTCTGTTTCCTCTTTCCACCTTTCTTCTCCTTTGGTGTCCTTGGTTCCACCTCTTCTTGGGACCCACTCAGATACCCATCTTGGGAAGCTGACTTAAGCTCTGGTTTCCTGGAACTCCCAACGGTGTTGCCATTGGACAGAGTTGCCTCCTCTGAAGTCTTTGAGCGCTTCTTGCGAGGTTTTGGTGTCCTTGGTTCAATGTCCTCAGATCCGCTCAGAAGTTGCTCCCTTGATAATGTCTTAGAAATTTTAGGATTTGTTTTGGAGTTTTGTTCTTCGCTTGATAGTAGAGTGTTGCCAGCTGTCTTGGAGTGCTTTTTGCGAGGTTTTGGAGTCCTCTGTTTAACGTCCTCAGATCCAGCTAAAAGTTCTTCCTGTGACATTGTCTTGCTGAGGCGTGATGTTGTTCTGGAACTCCCTGCTAGGTCCTCATTTGACAACACTGTGTCATCCACAGTCTTGGAGCGTTTCTTGTGAGATCTTGGTGGAATGCCAACATCCACAGTGTCAAAGGAGGACGCTAGACGTCTCTGGGCACTTGATGTCCTTGTCCTGGTTCGCTGCCTGCGAGGTGTGGTGTCTTCATCTGCAATATCGCTCCCATTGCGGCTAAGATCCACTGCAAGCTCTCGGGATAGGGTTTTCTTCTTCCTTCTCCTCTGACTGTTGAAGAAATTTTCATGAGAGTTTTGTTACGTAAACTGTAAAATGATTATTGGCCTACCTGACAAAATGTTGCTACCACTGCATGCTCAGTGCTTTCTGACAAGAAATAAAACATTAAAATCTTTTACCTTGTAGCTGGTGTGATGTCTAGATCACTGTCCTCTGCAGCTGACAAGATCTTAAGTTCACCGCTTTTAGTGACAACTGCTGTCATCTGTAGGAGACAAAATACAATAAAATAACTTCAAGAATTCCTGTTGTCACCCAAAAACATGTTTTGGCAGCACAGGTAATACTAATGTAGTTTTTGTATTATAACCAAGTCAATATCAATACAACTACTGATGGTCACATAAGCCGGCAGCGACTAGGTCCACTAGAGTACATTATCAAAGCAATAAATACCAATAAAAAACTGATGGTTAGAAAAATCCCAAATATACCAAAATACACTTTCGATGAAACTGTAGTAACTGTAGTAACTGACCTTTGACCCGTCCTTTTTGAATTTTGTCTTGCCCCTCCTGCGTGGTGTAGTACTAGCCGAGTCGGTCTCTTCTGCCCCGGTACTACCGGGAATTTCCCCAAGATATTTGACTTCCTGTTCCTCTTCAAAATCTGTCCATCCACAGACCAAAGAACACAAAGCAAATGCCAAATGTTTCTTCTGTAATTCTGAGTCTCATGAGGAAGTCTGCTCCCAGAATTGCATGGGCAAACGTTAGCTATCAGTAGGACACAATCCTTTCTGGATAAAGTGTGCTATTATCGGCAGTAAACATTTGAGAATCACAGAGTAAAAAGGATGTATCTTGCTAATTAATAAAAATCAACCTCTGTAACAACAGTGCTTCAACCTCATGGTCATCTCCTTCACAGAAATTGCACAAAAAATAATGTTAAATTATTAAATAACAATAAAATCATTTTACCATTGTGGTATAAGTCATAGATGTGCAGGATATTTCCCCTCACAGAAACAAGTTGAATCTAAATGGAAGGCGTTTAACTGTTCCCTTCAGGTCACGGCTAGGCGTGGGTGAAAGTCTAGTGCAAATGGTTTGGCACTGAAGTCTTGTCTAACCAATACAGCAGTAATATGACCAATTCCTATCCACCCCCTACCTTCTTAACTGAGCCCCTCCCCCCACTCATCCATCCTTACAATGATCTGTTACATATTCATCATGAACCTGTTATCCCTCCATCCTAATATTTTCCCCGCCCCCTTCTTACATTCATCAGCCACATAGTTAGCAGGGAAGTAACCCTGTTGTCCGTTCTCCAGCTGACCCATCCACCAGTTCTCATTGTCTTCGTGAAGCACTGAGATCCAGTCTCCTTGACGCAGGTTTAACTCATCAGATCGCTGAGCAGTGTAGTCATAGAGCGCCACCACACGACGCAGGTTGGTTCGATTCTTTTGAGAGGAGGGTGTGTTGAAGGTGAAGGTAGCTGTTCCTCCCCTGGTCTTTAGGGTTTATGAGAGAGCATCCAACGTCTCAAATTCAGAACTGGGACCATTGGTGTCTGAATCATTAAACACATTATTCGCAAGAGCAAAACCCAACAATCTTTGGGAATGTTGGTTTGTGTGATTAAGTCACCAACACTTACTGCTTGTAGGGCAATGCTAGGTGTGGACGCTCGTGGGAAGTAAGCTCTGGGTGGAGTCCATCCTGTCCCGCCCATACTTAATCCTAAACTCCGTACTCCCCGCACGGACTGATTTGCCAGGAAAGAACTCTGAAATTTGAGAACAAGGTACAATAAAATGCTAGATTAAATCTATAAAGTGGCACCATTTCCTGTAAGCTCCTAATAGGAATAAGTGCTAAGCAAAAACAACGTAAGCGTTCTCTTTTATGGCTGAGAACAGTAAGCAATGTACATTAAATGGTACACTAGCCAATGACCTTTTTCTCCTGAATCAAAATGTTTGTGTCAAACCAATCTGTGTGTGGTATACACATACATGTACTGATCATAGCTCCATACAATCAATACCTGTTATTAGATTAATGCATAACTGGCAGTTCAGCTCAATACGTTTTAGTAATCGAAGAAATAATTACTAAGGATTGGGTGAATTCATGTTAACACTCTTAGGAACAAATATTCAGTCTTGGGTAGTAATTCCAATTAGTTGGCCTCGGGCATGCTGAGCAGTGTACCCAAACAAAACCTGTATCAACATGATTTCACAACATGTCAGTCATGAGAGAAAATATGGTTGAAAGATTTGGCTACGACAGAAGCCTGTCTCCCTTTGGTGAGTTTGTAGCTTACTTGTTCACTTTCAAAGCTTTTAGCTGCAGAAATATAATCTTGTTTCATTAATGCCATACACATGCCTTTAAAGCAACAGCCAGCATTGTCATAAGATGTTTGGAAAGTTTATAAAGAAATTCACATGCCAACAATGGGTGTAATCGAACAACCCAAGCTAGTGGGATTGTGGGGAATAAAAACAAGGAAATGACCTTCTGACAGGATCTTTAAAATCATTAGCAGTGCATTCATGAGATTAGTCCAAAGAAAGAAAAAAAAAACACAAGTCCATCAAACTCTGGAAGTTAGTACAGGTGGGGGATGTTTACACAGAACCTTGGCTACAAAATCTCTCATCTTGAGAATTGATGAAAGGAGACACACATCAATGTTTGCAACAGCTTTTGTTTTCTTGGGATGAATTCGAATTTAAGTTTGAAAATCACAAAGTTGCAAGAAATCTTCGCTCTCATCTAAGCACATGTATAGCCAGAGTAAAGATTTTAGGTTTACAAACAAGTTTCTCCATCATACGAGTTGCACAATTTCTCGGTAACAAATACTTCAAAACAAAATAGGAAATAGAATATCATTCAACATCAAATGAAAAACCAAATAAAGTGCAACATGAAAACACTGTTGGGAGAAAAAATCAATTGTGAAAAGACAAAACAAATCAAATTAAAGAAGCAATATGACAATGTACGCAATTAACAACCAGATTTTAACCGCCCCAAAACATTAGTTCACAGCAGGTGCAATTACAGGTGCAGTTTTGTGGAATGTAGGCCTTTTATTTGTTCATACATACCACACCAGGCGAATCAAGCTGTGCAGGTGTTGGTGTGGGCATCTGTGGGCCCACTAGTTGATTCTGATAAGACATGGTCAGCTAAACAACACACATACATACCAGCAAGCAACATGACATTAGCATCCTACCCAGGAAAGTCCAGCATTTCTGAAATTAAGATCTTACATCCTTTCTACAACAAATGTAAACTCTTGCAAACATAGATAAGCAAAATTCTGCCCCTTGCTGAAAAATTTTACACCCTCAAAATTTTCATTCAAAAACCATGCTAATTCAATTTTTTAAAAACCACATGCAATGGGTTTCCATAAAAATGTCTTTGTCAACCTAACTAGAGCAAACCTCACAACTAAATTTTAAATGTTAAATTTCATCACATGGCTAAATTCATTACTTGGCAATGGAGGGAAAGATGTCCTGACATTAGACAGTGTGCATTTTAACCTTCCAACTTCCACACCTTCAATCAATCCCACAGTTGCCTGTTTTCTGTGCTGCGAAGTTTTGTAACTTGTTTTTAACAGCACTAAAATATTGTCACATATGCGACTGCATGGCTGTCATACATGCAACAATAGTGTAGCATGACAGTTTTGTGACACATGCATAATGACAGTATATTAACAGTGTCAGTTGTCACAGACAAACAGCAGTGCCACATGCATAACAATTGTCAAATGACAATGTTACCTACAGGTGTCATGCATATGTGTCACACCACATTCATCCATTCTAAACTTCCTAACACTCTGCTCCCACTCATAAGATTTAAAAAGAAATGATTTTCCCACAAGGTGTACGATCATGTGAATAAGAACTAGTCTGCACTAAACTTTTACCAATTCAAGATGCATCAATCAAGGTCCATCAATAATCAGTAAGTTATTGGTATGCAAATGGTTCAATAACTTCCAACAGTAAAAACACAGAATAGCCAGTGGACTTAACAATGACATAAACAAGATGCAATTTCCCCTCTGGCAAAACAACAGCCAAGAATGACATACCTGCGGTTTGAACATGGAAGCATCAAAGGTAGATCCCCAGGTGCTTAACGTTTGCTGCATAGGAGTAGCACCCCCAGGTGGGAGAACAAAGGAATTACCCAGCATACTTTGCTGTAACTGCTGCTCTTGGGCATTTTCCTGATTACCCTAAAGCAAGATTAATTTACAAATCATCAATAACCAAATACAGAGGTGTTACCCTTAAACACATTTTGTATTCTTTAATCAATGTCTCGAGCAAGCATTTCTTTTGATATTTTTTGACAGATGGTCAAATATTGCCAAGATTGGCAGTCTTTCTAAAAGGGGAACAGGCATCTGAAAAAATCAGCAAATGTAACATACCAATGAAGCTTTGAACAAGTTTGGCACAGTGTAAGAATCAGTAAGAACAGAAGGTATTATATAACACAATTTGGGATGGTTGAATAAAGAGACTTTGAACTAACTCCTAATTAAACCAAACTGGCTTAGTGATGGGCAGGATGTGAATAGGTTTTACCTTAGCCAGTTTCTTGAAAGCCTAAAATCCAGGCCCATAATGAATGAAAAATACCAGAACAGGATGAAGGACGTCCAATCAATGCAGATGGGTGGCATAACAGCAATCAGCAACAAAGACAAAACATGCAAAGAAAAGGCAGATTGCAAAATAACAGCACACATGAAAAATCTTGAAATAAAGCCAACAGCAAGCAAAGAAAACAATTTACTGTAACAACATAAAAAGCAGCAACTAGCTAGACTAAATGAGGAGGCTCATGGAATGTACTTGTAACTTTAACATTTTATGAGGAATTTCAACATGGGACGGAAGAATGAAAAAACTGTATCCAAAAATCTTTCAATGGACATTTTTTCACTATTCATGGAAAAAGCACGAGAAAATGTTGGACAAAAAAGACTTGCAGCTAAAACAATGAAAAAACTGTATCCAAAAATCTTTCAATCGACATTTTCTTACTATTCATGGAAAAAGCACAAGAAAATGTTAGACAAAAAATACTTGCAGCTAAAACAATATTTCTACATGAACAAATTCAGTGGCAAAAACAAACTTCTTGTATTAATTTTAAATTTTTCATGTTCAATGGTCATCAGGGAACTGATCTATGAACAACCCATGAAAGCAACAAAAATTTCAGGAATGGCAATAGTAAGTGACTAAGCTTGCTCTTAAACGGGCCAAAAACCCTCAACCAAACTGCTAAACCATTGCAAGAAACACACGTCAAGCAGTGTACCATGACTGTAGCAAGTTTGGCTTTAACGCGTTCCATTCGCAATGTCTTTGTTGTGTCCAGTTCATCCTTGAGGTCTCTCTTGGCCTCTAACAGATTCAAGAGACTCTCCTCTGCCTTAGCAACACCAGGTCCTACTTCCTCTTTCTCCTTGGCACCTGAGGCTGACTTGAGACCCAAATCTAGCCGGGCAACTAGGGTTAGAAATAAAGACCAGAAAGTTGACTTCATTATACACCTTGAGCAGAAGCACCCACTCATCAGTTGAAAAGAGCTGTGTTGGTCAGGAAGGTTCATTTTGTTAGTAGCGATGCGACCCTGACGCATGTATTTCCTAGTCGTTCTTGAACCAGCTTTAGTTCTGACCAAAGGAGCCTCCGTTCCTAAAACAATGGCGCCCTCTCTTGGTCCAGCTCAAGTAGCCCGTTGCCACTATCAAGTATTATTAAAAAAAACATAATGTCAGCTAGCTATTTGAAAATCTAATGAATGGAGCTGTGTACGTGCAAGACGGCTTTAGAGTCCAGGCTTGGCAAATGCAGTAGACGAAGTATAAGCAGTCTTCTACAAACAACTGGTGAGAGATTCTTTACAATCAAACTTTGCATACAACACAATTTTTATATGAAGTTAGTTCAAATGGTAGTCAGTAAAGCTACTTCTATTAACAATAGGTCAGTATTTTGTTTAGATTTAGGGTAAAATGGTCTCAGGATAATAATGAATTGTTACCATTTCGTCACCCACCTTTGGCGTCGTAAACGTAGACCTTGATAGGATGACCCTCACCCCGGGAACAGAATGCAACCATGTGTTCATAGGGGTGGTAAGTTACGGCCATTACTGGGTATTTGTAGCCTAGGTTGGAGTATACAGCTATTTGGTCCCCTGTAGACAAACAGAACAAAATGTGTACAAATACATCTTGTTTTCTGTTGATAGTTCTTACTCTCATTATTTTACCAATTTGTGAAGTTTGTTACAGATGGAAATGATGAAAAATGTTAAATTCAACTAAGACTTGAGATTTTTTTAAAAAGAAGATTGAGCCTGCCAGCCTGTAGGCTCATGTAAAGTCCAAGATTTCCATGTGAGAATATTTGATCTTGGCTGGTACTTGCCTGTGTCAGTATTCCAGACATAAGCTTGTTGATCCTCACTGCCTGAGATGACAAAGGATCCACATTCAGTCATGGTGCTTCTGACATGCTCACGAAAATTCAAAGCACCTAGATAACGCTGCATGACCGTGAACCTTTTGAAAAAACAAGAATTAAAAACTGAAATTATGAAATGAATTCAACCTGTCCTTTGTCATCCTTATTTCCAATGGTATACTGAAAAAGAGAAATTGTAAATTTTCTCTTTATTTGGATCTGAATTTGCTTAGATCCTTGCTTACAATCTAAGGTCCATCATGCGGAGATTGTTGTCTCGTCCATGGATGAGCAGTCTGCGTCCACTAGGATGGACCTCTAGAGAGTTGATGGTCACTCCCTCCAGCTCCTTCTCATTGATGACCTTCTCCACTGACCACCTGTCTGGAGCACCTGACCAGATTGGAAAATAAACTCATCAGTTCAATGAGCTCAAACACATTATACTACCTTGTGAACACAAAGACACGGGCTATGTCCAACAGAACTGGCTATGGCTACCAGTTACACATACATCTATGAGAAATTACTCCAGCCATTAGCCACTGATTTTCATAAGCCCCTGTGTCATTTTTAGCAGCCACTGTAACTGCATGCAACTGTCTAGAACAGAGCTCAACCAAGAAACTTTTGGCTTTTTTTAAGTGAACATCTATAAATGGCACACTGTATCATGGTTCACACAGCACAGCAGGGGTATATAACAGGAATGCAATGGTCTGCAAGTACGTGTACATGGCACACTTGATTTTAATGACACCTAGTCCAAAAAAAATCACAATTCCTACCACGAGGGTGGGTGCATGATAGACATTGCTTTTTAGATTTCAGTATTATGTGTCATGCCGTGAAGTCATTCTTTTGCACAATGCCTATATTCAGCTTATATAATGTAAAGCAACATTCAACTGCACATGGTATATTACTGATGAAGTCATAAAGCCCAAACGTTATAAAATGTTGGCAAGGCAAACATGCACACCTAACACCAATATCTTCCTGTATAGCTAACAAACACAAAGTGATTGGTTCCTGTTACTCCAGAACATAATAGGTCTCTCTCTAAGGACGTCACTTTCTACAGATTGCCGCGTGCATCAGCATTTTGCTCTTCAATTTTTGTGATGTGCATCAGCTGCGCCACATTTCGAGCATATTTGGATCAGCACGAGCTCGACTTTGGAACATTTTGCCCAATGCGCAGACACGCACCTGTTGGTGTTATATACACAGTTGCAATTTCCTACAAAGATGGTGTCCAGAGGGAGAGATCTATAGGAGAGTTCCATCATCCTTACCTTGGCTGAATGACACTACAAGAATTCAAAATCAAAATCTAATACAAGACCCTTAAATGTAAATGGACTCTAATGCATAAGTGATAAAAGATGCCGTGCAGCTTGGTAGAAAAAGTCTGAGTGAAGGCCACGTGGACTGTGTCATCAGAGAATTATGGCCGTGTTTGAAAATGACCATGTGTCCATATGAAAGCTATTGGCAAGCTAGTTCCCATAGAAACACATGTCCTGCTCCTGACCTCATCAGCCAATGGGAGACTTTGAGATGCATGGTGGTGACAAACATACCGGATTGTTTTACTCAGCATGCACGCGTTGTTCTGAGCAGGCGGGCATAGTTCTGAGCACACTCAATACTGTGAAGGACTGGTTATGTCTGCTGCCCTATGTCTGTCTCCCATTGGCAAGCTTTTGCTTCATAAGGTGCGCTACTTAGACTGATTCCAGTTTGAAATAACAAAGGTCAGATGTAACAGAGACACGCAAATGTCACACTTTTGGACCCCTGATTTCTGGAATTACCCTTGATGGGTACAAGTTTGGTCAGCCTAAGTATTTTGACACTGAACAACAATGAAACTGATGCTCTCAGAAAAAATAAAAGAAAATTGTGCATTCTACACCAGCATATGATTGCTAATAACTACTTCTTGCATTTTGCTCAGCCAGCTACAAAGACACTTCGCAAACTGTTCAAACTTTAATGACTGACTTAAACGCGGATGAAGGAAAGAAACAATTCTACAATGTTTCTTGGCTCTTGGCACATATAACAGATTCCTTTGGTGGGCTTTTGATCAAGCATAAAGCAAGACATTATCTGTACCTCTCTGCTTCAATATCCCGGTGAGTTTTTGTTCAAGTTCCTTTGGTCTTGCACCTGTGCTCTCCAATGAGTCACTGGTTGATCCAAATTTCACTTGACGGTCTACGTGACAACATGGCTAGATTGGTCAAGCTTTATCTTTGAATCCAAACTTGATTGAAGAAATTACTTCTAGTTTTCTCTGGCTTTTGAACCACACTGATGTACTTACACAGCGATGTTATGAGAGTCAAAACTCTTTTTAATCTTAACATCTAAATTTAATTGGAAGAATTCTAGCTAGAAAATTTTATCATGAGGAAAAACAACCTAACTGCTACAACATTACAAATGGTTGATAAGCCATCATTTTCAGCCATTCTCACTCCCTCAACATTCCCTCTATCACGTTATTCTGAAGCACTGATGAGATTTAGGTCTTAGGATCTGCAGGTAGTTAGAAAACATCATTTCATATCAAAATAAAAGGGCTTTATTCCAGGAGTATGCTGCATTCTTTACTACCAGGACATGATCAGGGTTACACAGAGGTCATTACCTACCTGAGGTCATGACCAGGGTCACACAGAGGTCATTACCTACCTGAGGTCGCAGCTTTGGCCATGACAGCTGCATTCCACTTGATGATGACACCGACACTGTCGCCGGAGAACATGGTTTTGCCATCCCGTGAAAAGCAGAGGCAGTTGACAAAGCCTTTGTGCCCATCTAGCTCTTGAAGAAGCTGCACACAATGTGGAACGTAGAGTTCACCAACTTGTAAATACTAGCCATAATGTAATCTGCTATCAAACTGGAACTGACCAGAGCTTGCTCAAATGAGGCCAAAGTTCAAGTGGTGAAGACATCTACACTAGAAACAAAATGGTTAGAAGTTCAAGTCCCAACTGAATCAGCTTCTGGAGTTTTTCTCACTTTCAGGAGCGAAGTCTTTGACAATGAGATTTCTTTGAGCATGTGTTGCTCTGCAAAGAACTTCACATTCTAACGAAACCTCTCTTTAATATTCCCACAGAGATTTATGGCCTCCAACTGTACCTCAAACTTAAGTAGTAATCTTTAGATCTGCTTTTACCTCTGCTGTTTGACTGTCATTCTTCTTGCTCCACACTCGGACCACATGATCATAGCCTCCACTGACCACTAGATGGTCAGCTTGGGGATGGAATTTGGCTGTATAGACAAAAGCTGGGTGAGGGAAGACTTTCTCAGCTGCACTGTCTGGAGTTTCTAGGTTCCAGATACGAGCTGTACCATCGGACGAGGCCGTCAAGATCTCGTTGTCGTTAGCTGCCCAACTGATGTCATAGATCAGGCTGTAGTGTCCAGGAAATTGGCATTTGAATCGCCCAGAGGGAATCTGATCATAATGAAAAGATTCAAGTTCAGAATACTATCCAGCTTTTTCAGTCTTGGAATTACAAGAGCCTTTATATCAAACTGGTTTTTAAAATGCGCTGATTTACCTCATATACCAAGACTGGGTAACCTTCTCTGTCTTTGCATCCACAGGCAAGAAACCTTCACGAATAAGAGACAAGAAGTAATTACTAAAACAAAGCGTCTAACCCAGTAGGAGAAGAGTAACATTCAAAGTTCTAAGCAGTAAAGCCAGTCGACCAAATTAATGTTATGTTATCTTGAGCTCCTCAGGTAAGAAATGGTTTTTCAAAGTGATATGTTTTTCTAACCTGCCGCTGGGTGAAAATTTCAGGACAAAGCATCCTTTCTTGTCTCCAGCTAAGGCCAAACTCAGTTTGTTTGGGATGCGACACATCTGACCTGGAAGGCGAGTCCAGTTGGTGAGAGGTTTTTCTTTACTAAAGGCGAGATAAAAACAAACAAAAGTCCTTTCAGTGTTCTTGCTACTGAATGTTCTTTAAGCATGCACACTCCAAATTGATTTGCTAGTTATACAATTTGTTTGCTTTTTGGGAAGGGGTGGGGTAAAAAACAGCAAAAAACTTGGGAAACGGATAAAATTAGTAAAACTCCATTTTCATATGTGGGAAATCTTTATCCAATTCTCTCGTTAAAGAAACAAAAGGGAAGAAAATTGATCACTAGTAACACAGATTACACAAAAAGTTTGTTTAGTAACTGATTTTGTTTTCTATTATTTTGGCTCAGCAGAGAGACAATTCTCCTTACCCCATTGCCTGCTTCGTACCCCAGTTGATGGATTTCTTCAAATCACTGAATGACATCCTTCCTTGTTCCTGTTAAAAAAAGTTCAATATTGTGCTAACGATCCCAAAGATAGTTCCATTCATGCTGTTGATGCCAATCTTGCTAAGTAATGTCAAAGACAGAGCAAGGGTAAAGATGACCCTTGGTGGTGCAGCGTTCATGTGCAGTGCAGGAAGTAAACCAACGCATTGACAAATGCTATGCACCCACTCTTACGGGTGGACCACATAGTGCACTGTACACCTAAGGCACACAACCAATAGGAGCAGGAAAGACTGTGTCTAAAAGCTACGGCTACAGCTGTAAAACATACACTAATGGTTGCCACTGGCTTGCGACTACAGCTGATTTCCACTGATACATGTATTACTCCTAGCCATAGACAATTAATTTAAACATAGCCATATCAAAGTAAACACTATGCATTTTTTACCTCCTGTGTGGCATACAGTGACCTGACAGCAGGTTCAACCTTGTCTGGTGTCTTGACTGCTTTAACTGTCACATACAGGGTAGATGGATAGGGCTGCCGACTAATATTCTGCCACCACTGGTACACCTGTAATTAATAATTACTATAATTTCCACCTCTCCAAAAACCTTAACGTCCACTTTGTTTTCCCTTTCAAAAGAAACAGTTTTCAAATACCCCTTTTATGAAGCAGGATATAAACAACTTCTTGGAAAGGTTTGGTGAGCAAAAAGCCAGGTTTTATAGTGTTCTTACGTCAAGTTGTCCTGGTTTTCCCTTATAACTGAATGGAGGGTAGAACAACTGAAGCCGGACTTTCTTATCAGTGTTGGGGATGCCATTAGCACCAACAACCTGAAGAAAAACAAGCAAACACAAAGTCAAAGTCAGTTATGACGGCTTTCATCAGAACTGTCGCAACAGAGTAATGGTGATAAAGTAGAATTTTTTTCATATGACCTGACCTTGAGAAATGCCCAAGCTATTCGATGCCATCCTCCTTCTCCTTTCAGCATCTTGGATTTGGTAGAAGTGATGTTCATGCTGACAAAATCAAGGATCTATCACAGAAATGAAACAAAATATACAGATTCTAAGATTTGACTGTGCCGCACCCTAATCTTATCCCTCTATATCTCTTCTCAATAGAGGGATTGCGCCACGTTTTTCAGTGGTTCCTTGCCATGTTAAAGGAACTATTACCGAGAACCAGCTACGAGGGGTCTATTCAACACAGGCTAAAGTCTTGTCTCAATTTACCTCTTCTCAACTCAGAAACACCACGATTAAACTCAGAACGTGTCGTTTAACGCACAAACCTCAAAAAATATGATGGCCTTTGGCGCAGATTCGTCTGATTGGATAAGGTAGTTATAGCTCTCGTTGAAGATGAGTTGCTCATCCCAGCAGGGTATGATGGACCTGAAGATGGGAGATGATAAAAAACTACACTGTTAATAGTAATAACAATAGTAATAACAATAATAACAAGCACTTAGAAAGCGCCCTCTATCTAGCACACTCTTCTGAGGCGCTGTATTATCATTATCCCTGCACATTGGGCTCACTGCACATTGGGCTCATCTGAACATTCCTGAAACCATCTCAGCTCCCTGGGGAGTACACCAGCCCGGTGTTGCCATTTCGGTGCAAAAGGCTAAACAACCGTGCCTGCCCTCACAGGTACCCATTTACTCCTGGGTGGAGAGAGGCACATAGGGATAAAGTGACTTGCGCCCAAGATCACAACATGCTGCTACCAGCTGGATTCGAACCCCTGACCCTATAATCAGAAGCTACAAACCCTAACCACTAGGTCACATACCTCCTGTTCCACTACCATCAGAATTATAAATTCTAAAAAAACTTACGTGCTCAAAGTAACATGTCAATCTTCATAATTTACCAAATACCAGGAATTGCAAGGCAAAAAAAACCAAAACAAAACAAAAGCAACAAATCACCTTGGATTAGTGCTCGCTGTGCAATTAATGAAAATGAAAACACCAGGAATTCCAGAAGAAATGTGGTAAGAAAGCCTACTGCCAAACTGCTTTTGGCAGACCTGTGGTTGAAACTAAGGTTGTTAAGAATATCTGGTCCTTGGATTTCTTCTGACTTACTTCCTCTTCTTAAAGTCAAAGGGTTGAGTCAGTACTGGTAAGATGTAATCCACTTTGTCATTTTGATTCTCATAATATGATGTCACAGCACGATCCCTGTGGGAAAGGAACAAGAATTCAAACGGTGTTTAGTAATTCCAAGACCTCAAAAGGTAGCTCAGAACTAAAATGCAACCTTCTTCCACTTTTTTTTGTTGTAACCTTATGGCTCCTAGGATTGGCAGAATCACAGCTACATACATTTCCATTCGTTAGATATCAAAATTCTGGCTTGAAATTTTATTTTGCTTCCTTGTCCCATGATTGAGATTCTAACATACAGTTTAGATTTCTTGAAGTATGTGCCAGTGTCCATGTCGATGATGTGAACTCTGACCAGTGGATGAGCAATGTAAAGGTCAGTCTTGAGCCGGTCACTACGATGGACGTTCACCCCAAACACTCGACCATCATCCTTCGGCTGCCTCTTGCGTTTCTTCTTAGTCTTTTTCTTATTGTCTTTGGCCCCTTCGTTCTCATCAGCATCGGGTTTGTCATCTTTGGATGCTGTAGATAGATAATCAACTGCTGATTTAAAGAATTGGCTTCCTTATTACTCTCATAAGAAGAGAGTTTGGGACTGTTTCACAACCAAGGTCTTTACTGTTATCTAACATACATGTCTTCAATGATATACTTTCAAGTAAACCACTCCCTAAACTAATTAACTTAGCGTGAAACACATTTGGGGAATGAGTTCCGTGAACAAACAGACTGTCCAGATTTTTCTATGGCAGACTTAAAATTGGCAGAAGTAATTAAGATTTTAAATATATTTAATTTCATGGTGTACTTTTTTATACATGAATTGTTCTGGCCAGTATAGAGTTTTCTGCAAAACTTGTTTTGCTCTTGTGAGGAGCGAAGACTATCAGCAGAATATGCTTTGTGAAAACCTTGTTTTCTGTCAAACAAAATCATACATAAGGTCAGAAATGTTGAAAGACCCTTCAGTTTAGTTCTTGAAAACGATCGATTATGAGAACCCACCTGTCTTCTTTTTCTTCTTCTTTCCAGCTGCTTTCTCATTTTCTTCAATTCCTTCCTCTGTGATCTCTTTTCCTAGATCCCCACCATCTGCCTCATCTCCTGTTTGCTGCTGCTCTGTTTTCTCACTGTCTTTGTCATTCTCCTGCTGGGTAGCCAATTTCTTTTTCCTCCGTACCTTTTTGGGTGTGTCCTCAAGTTCCTGCATTGTTAAAGGGCCACTGCAAAGCACACAGGACATTTTTCCATCAATTTTCTTTGACCAACATGTTCACATTTCTATTGGAAGGCTTGGCATGTTATGCTTGAAGAGACAAGCCACTTTGCAACTGTAAAAGCGACTAGTAGAAAATCAAATAATGTATGTAACAAGTCAAAGCAACATCAAGATGTGAGCAACGGTCCTGTGACTTGCGTAAGATTCAAGATTTTATTTTAGGAGACTATTCAACACTGAGAGCCCACCTGTCCATAATGTCACTTGCGTCAGCTTTCTTCTTCTTCTTCTTTGTTTTCTTAGGACTGTCTGCCTGGGCATCTTTGTCTTCATCATCAATAAAGCCTTTGTTCTCCATCCCCTTTTTGGGTGGGGGCTTACGGCCCTTCTCATTTGTCAAGTTCTTGTGGAAACGAGGGCTGTCACTGCCATCGTAAGTGTTGGCCAGAATGGATGGATCTTCAGATGGGTCAGTATCCTTGCGGAGATCAGCACCTTGTTTCAATGACTCAAGCTAAAAGGAATACAACATGAACGTGCAATCAATGGCAATATTAAACAGTACTATGCTAAAGTGCCAAACATCCAGGGAAAGTGACAGGTTTGTTAAATTTGTGCATTAGCTCATTGTAAATGCAAATAGCGCCTAACTGAGCAGAAGTAAGAGCAGAAAGAATGAAAGGAAAGGTGTCTGGATACTGAGCGGAGCCTAGCAATTAAGGGGTCAAGGAAAACTTACCATAGCATCTGTTGTCTCAGACTTGGTTCTCTTTCCTTTTTTCTTCCCCGATTTTCTTTTCTCACTAAAGAGAAAAATTGCAATCTTGCAAAAGTGAAGTATAAGAAGACCACAAACTTTCTTTACAGCAGTTACATGTATTTATGATGAGCAGATATCGTGTTTCAGTAGGTTTGGTACATTTACACTGCAGCACTCGGGTCAAATGTACATGTAGGACTCTATTAATGCCAGTGTAGGAAGGCCAATATTGTAAAAATGGGACAGTTTCTTTGCATAGTAGTTCTTTGGATAGGAAAATTTGGGCTGAATGTGGGGACTTTGACGTGCATCAGCAATGTGCTAGGCCCTCACAACATCTGGTGTTCTACAGGTGCATAGTCCTCACAACTAGCTGGTTTGTGTAGTCTTTAAGGGAGTTCGTTAATTAAGGTGAAGGTGCACTCTGTCTTACTCTGTAGTTTGTTTCATGGCTGCACGAAGCAGTTTATCAAAGCTGGCTTCATTCGTTGGGTTCTGGTCAGACTGAGGAGCTGTAAAATAATATTGAACAGGTCAATCAATAACTATGACTGCAATTATTTCAATGTTGACCAGTCTCCATTATTCCAAACTCTAACTTTGTTCCACTTGTATTTCCCGATTGTTCTCACCCTGAGTGTATTCTTTCATTTGGAGTTTACCTGTATATTCATGCAAGTTGATGATTTTTATCCCTTTCTTCATTCCTCCACCCCTTTCCTCTGTCATTCTCAGATTTTTCCAGGGGAGGGGGAAGCATTGCCTTGGAACGCCCACAGCAAGGTAAAGGTGCCTTGGGATAAAGAGTAAGGCCCGGCACCCTTGATTTTTAAGTCTTCACTTACATGGAGATCCTTCATCATCATCTTCGCTCTTAGGCAGCTTTCGTGATTTCTTCTTCACCTTTCCTGGAAAGAGTCAAAAGTAAAAACTATGATTGGTGAAGGTACATTTAAAAGGAGGGGGGGTGGCATATTGTTTCACTGCACAACTCTGGGTAGCTAGCTGTGACAGAATGCAAGACCTTAGAAATCCCCCGTTGAAAATTGTCGAACTGAAATGCGGAGCAGGTTTGGCCACTTCCAGCCCAATGCCTGTGCAGGGTGATAAACGATCACCGTCAGATGGAAACAAGAAATTGGTGGGTAAAAATAATAGGTTTTTCAAACTATTTGGTCTTATGGTCCGAATCTCATGTACGAGCATTTGCTTACACAAAAATTATGTAGATTTTGACTGAAAAGTCTAAAATTCATGATACTTTCACAAAATTGTTCTTATTCATACCTTACTTCAATAAATTAAACGCTGGCTTCACTTGCAACTTCAAATTTTATTTGAATTAGGAATGAATTAGAAAAAGGAGCTAGAGCAAAAAGCCATTTACCACTGTTAACCAGAGTTTCCTATTAAAGAAAACGAATTCCCAAATAAACACTGTAATTTGTAAACAGCCTCCTCACTCATTTCAGCATCTCCCTACATGCCCTTGTGCTCTCCCTACATGCCCTCGTGCTCTCCCTACATGCCCTCATGCTCTCCCTACATGCCCTCATGCTCTCCCTACATGCCCTCATGCTCTCCCTACATGCCCTCGTGCTCTCCCTACATGCCCTCGTGCTCTCCCTACATGCCCTCATGCTCTCCCTACATGCCCTCGTGCTCTCCCTACATGCCCTCGTGCTCTCCCTACATGCCCTCGTGCTCTCCCTACATGCCCTATGGGGTATGTAGAATGGCTTATGATCAGAGAAAGTGATGCATAATGCAAAGCAAGGATTGCGGATCAGTTTTTTCAGAAGATTCCTATGTTATTCAATACAAATACAGAGGCACAAAATACGCCTGTTTAAAATCCTTTAAAAATCACAACCCAACATCCCATAACATTGCTTTTGAGATTTTAAAACCTATCTTTCTGAATATACTACATCTAAATCTGACTAACTTGAAGAAAAATTGTCACATGCCTAGAAGTAGCAAACAAACAGTAGGCCCCTACTAAAAAAAAGTACTATCATGACTATAGGCCTAGGCCTATACTGTAGCTCCATTGCATGCTAATACTAGTAACAATAACATGTACTTTTAACCTAGGTCCTATTTGCTCAGATTTCCAGTTTACGGTTCAGAAAGTACAAATAACTTACCTTTCGCATCCATCATTTACCCCTGACTTGAACGTTAGATGCAATCACTTGTTTTGGGGAGGGCAACACTGCGATCGTGACCCAACGACTGACACTTTAGTTTTTAGTGACAGGACCACAGGACAATGAAGAAATGTTTACAATCAGCGGCCATGTTTAAATTTGTTTGACATTACAAGATACCCGAACACTAAATATCCAATGTGGCGATTGGTCCAAATTATGTCAAAACTTATTTAAAAGACCCTCACATGGCCTAAATAGTGGTAAATATATGACTAAAGTTTCAATAATAAACATTTATACAATCAAAAAAGTCATATGATTCATATTTTTGCCAAATAAGTTCGTAAATGAGTAAAACTTCTAATTTTTATGAAATTTTAAGAGCCAATAGAATTACATGAAAAAAATGACAGTTACATTGTTCTAGAGGGCGCTATTGATTGGCATCGTGTATTGATATAGCTCCGTATACCGTAGAGATCAACGGTATCGCGTGTACATCAAAAACTGATAATGCAGCGCCTCGATTGGATAGAGGGCGCTTTACAAGTGTTTGTTATCATTATTTTATTATTAATCTGAGCATTTGATTACAAGTCAAGTCACAAGTCAATTTGTTCCAAGCACAAGCAAGTCACCAGTGTTTTTGTCCAAGTGTAGGCCTGCAAGTCAAGTTGCGCTATATGTGTGGTTTCAAGCCACAGACAAGTCTTAGTTCAAAGACCTCAGCTTCCGTATTTATCCCACGATCCGCGAAGCGTGTGGTGATATGTTTCAGCATGGTTCTAGCTAGGTTGGTGGGTAAGAGCTCTGAATTTTCAACAGTCAGTCTTCAACAGTTAGATTCGTGGTCTTGTAACCATGTAGGTCATCGGATTGAAATAGATATGCGTTAGTTTCGACAGCTTTTTTTGGTGGGGGGGGTTTGATTGAGAAAGTGGAATTTTTGCTGGACAAACATGACACTTGACAGACTTTAGCTCTACACTGTACAACTACACTCACACTGTACATATACTAGGCCCAAGTCACATAAGTGGAGGGCCTATTCCTCTTTTTCGATTTTGGACGGGATCGGTCAGTGTCGGTCATTTTGAACAATGACCGATCCCGTCCAAAATCAAAAAAGAGGAATACTAAACACTGTTGGCAGAAAATATAAATTATGTAACCTACCGGATATGTCAGAAAGAGTTATGGACGCCACTTGACACAGTGTGTGCATTAACACTATGAGACTGGTCTGAACAATTCTGTTTACTAAAAAGTAAACGTAAAAGATTTTTTTTTCCTTCCTAAATTGAACTTTTCTGGAAATGTTTTTCCTGTCTGACAGCTAATACAGAATAGGTGACTGTAGGGTCTAGGCCTAGTTACTGGTGTCTGTATATGGAACTCTTCTAAATTTGCCTTGATTTGAGTAAACTGGGCATGGGCTGCATTAAACATACCAAAAGGCGGGCCGCAAGTCACACACATGAAGTAGGGGACCTTCAGTTCTAAGTAGCTCCATGGTCAGCATTATTAATATTAGACTAGCCACAGGTAGTGTGTAGCAGGATGTCAAGTGGTGTTCTATGACTGACGTTACCCAGACTACTACTAGAGAACTCTTTCCCCCAGAACTGTGGGGTTCAACATCTGTTGTGCTTCCACGAGGAGTAGGCAAGTAGTGTTGTACAGGCAGGGACCTAATGGAACTTGTTCCAAGATGATCAAAAAGTACTGGAAATAAAGAGTTCCATAGACAGACATCACTTGAGGTCTTTTGCAGAAACCTGTGGGACTGGCCTGAAAAATTGTGTTTCTAAGTAAATGGTTCACGATTTTCCCTGCTAAATTTGACTTTCTAGGACATGTTATGCTTCCAGTGTTATGACCTTCTGATGGCTTATAAACTACTGCAGGGAGAAATTAATGATGTCCATATTTTGAACTCTTACCTACGTGTATATGAAGCCATTTCTCATTTTTTTACTCTGTTTCATCATTTTTAGACAAACAGTGAAACACCATTTAATTTTGCCATGTGTGGACAACAGCTAAAGTCTGCCCCAGGCCATAGAGCTAAAGCTTACGCAAGCTTTAGAAACCGCAGTCCACGCGTGGTGGACATACTATGGCTCAATTGGGAAGGAGAGCGCGTGAACTACACTAAGAACGGACTAAAACAGGGTTATAAGATGGATATGAACACCTACGAGGGACATCCATGGATATTCCGAGATCACTGTAGTGGTGACAAGCTTGTCTTTGTTGCTGGAACAGACGGACAAAGTAAGGAGGTATTTTTTCCTACTCCAGCTGGTGAGGAAAGGCCACATGCTACTCAAGTCAACATACAGTTACCAGGTGAGAGATTTTTTATTGTGTTATTTATGTTAATTTGAGTGGGTAGACTTCTCAACATCACCACTGATATTTCATCAAATCATTGAATTTCAGATACTTCTTTCAAAAACTGCATTGATCAAATATCTATTTTGTGGCAGACTTTTTTTCATGACATTTAAATAATTTTGTTGTTAATCATTACCAGATGATTTCTTTAGTCTTTTGTTTTTCTGAAACTAGTATATACGTTATTGGAGAGATCCCTTCAAGTGTTGAGGAATTTGATTCGGGACAAATCGGACTTTGACAAGTTGGAGATCCCTGCAGAGTTGAAGTCACAGCTTGCCAACCCAGTAGACACCGTCATCTGGTGATGTAGCCAGCAAGACTTGCCATATGAGTCAAAGTCACAGAATACTAACTCAGAAGACAATGTCATCTGGTACTGTGTCTAGCAAGCAACACTTACTGTATGGAGGTAAACCTCATGCTGTTGATTTTAGTTTACATGTAATAGCTGAGGGCTGAGGCACTACATGACTTGACCGCTTTATATCCCAAGACATGTAAACACAGTTTGGCACACAGGCATGGCTGATGGGTAGAACATTAAGCTGGACCCATCATTCAGGGGGGTGGCCCTTCTGGCAGGAAGCTGGCCCCCTTAACTGATACTGTGGTCCTCCTTAATGCCTGAAGCTGGCAACAGGAATGGTCAAGCACACCTTGACTCACCTCTGGCAGACATGTCGACAAGCTAATCTTCCATATGTTTTGTATGCACGCCAAGTCTGAGGAGGCGGACGGTGGGGTGAACTTGAACTAGGCTGCTGTATAGGACCCGTGGAATTAGCCAATATTCCTTCATTGGCATGTCCAGGATGTTGAAAATGTGAGGTTGCTGTAAAAGTTTAGCATGGATACTTTTGACTTTTGCAAGTAAGTATTTAACGTTGCTGTTGTAATAAATATTTACTGGGTTCTAAGTGTATTTAGGGGTGTGAGAATTCAGCTTTTTAGCTGACTTCAGCTCTTTTTGTTGAGATGTTGACCCTGATTTCAGCTTTATTTGTCAACCTCCTGTGTACAAACGTTTGGGAACTTCTTACATTTCAGCTTGTCGCTAGCTGTTTTCAGCTTTAATTTTATGCAGACACTCACACCCCTGTGTATTATTAATGCAGATACCTTCCCCTTTAAATTATGAAGTTGGCTGAGATGAGTCTTGAATTGCTGACTGAATGAGTTGCAGTAATACCCTGCATTTGTTAACAAAGTCTTATAGAATGGTATGCTTCCTGTCATGCTTCTTACCTTTCTCTTATGTTGCAGCAAAGGGTTAAAAACAAGTGTGCTAAACAAAATTTGTATTGGCTGTTCATTTTCAGGGTTGATCTAAGTTTTTCTTTCTTCAAAATGGAAGTACTCTGCTGTTGTCATAGTAACATGACATTCAGTCTCAGAAATGAAATTTATATTGTTTCATTTACCATGGTTTAGAAAATGACAGTTCAAAAGTTGTGGGTGATAAATCTCGGGAAAAGGATTGACACGTCTGCTGTCATTGCCACTAAAATAATTATCAGGCCATGAAGCACAGGAAATCTGATTTCATGGTCACTGTTCTTCCTGTTACATGTTTTGTCATTTCCAGTGTTTGTAACTCTGACAGTGATGGTATGCTAGATGTTTAAGCTTAAAGATGAAATAAAATGAGACTACCACTTGCCTTTGTGTAGGTTAGAAAAATTAGTTTGACATTGACAACATATTTCAGTTAAATTTTTGCCATGTGAGGTCCAAAATCTTTCTTAATTTGAAAGTAAGAATAAGGCAAGGTAGTGAAAATAAAATGTGTTGTTTTGGGTACACATTTGTATTCATTGTGTAGCAAGCGTTTTGACTCAATGAACTAAATTCTGCGGCAGTGGCTGCTAGGTCAACTATATCTGAAAATTTACATACGTGTACATTTGCATGTATTCAAAGTGCCATGTAGCTCTGCTTAGGCATGCCTGTTTCATGCATCGCTGCTCAAGGAAGGAGGGATACGTGGACATGCATTAACCAAGTTCATAGCCAACTGTGTTCATGTAGGGCAGTCTAGCCTTTCAGTTTGCCACCAAGGTTAGTTTAATACAATAGCTTTGTGTTTGGCTGTGAAACTTGGGAGTGCCGTGATGTTTGCAAACCAAATTTACGTTGTGAAATATCAGTGTAAATATGTACATGTACGTGAATTAATCTTAAAGTTTGGGGTACCAAAGAAATAGGGCATCTGTTTTGAAGCTGACTAAATAAAACTTCAAGCATTTTGGCCTTATTGGGTTTTTCGGGGCCATGGAAAACGTACAGGATTCTGGTATAACCCTGACCAACACAAAAGGGGGGTCTCTTCATCCCATCTTGCTTCCAATGTGTACGTCAGTCGCCAAGGAAAACAAAGCTGTTGGAGTCTTTACACTGACAAACAGGCATCAACAAGAACAGACGGCAAATTTTTGTAATACAGTGTACCTTTATACTGCATTCAACATAAATTACATAATGCTTACTGATACAGTAAGTCGAACATAAAAATATTTTTCATTTTGCAAATGGAGCTCAACATTAAAAAAGTTAAACATTTCATTCACAAAAAATACTGCATCCTACTTACAATACTTTGTGCGTTTTAGACTCGTAAGCATTGTACACATAGGGTAATTTAATATGGGGTGTGGGCGGTAACCCTTTGTAAACCAGCTTATTTGCATACATGTATCTAGAGTAACATTTCAGCAATGAAAAAAGTTTCACAGCTTCTGCTTGGATTCAGCTAGTTAGAGTTGCGTGAACTGAGATTTGAAGCTTTTCATGGTGAAGGTAGCAAGTAAACTAGATAAGTTTGCGGTAGCACCATGGATATACCTCTTTTTTGAGTATGTGGGGTCCAGTTCTTTTCAGAACCCCACATACTCAAAAAAAGATACTCAAAAAAGAGATATGTCCATGGTGCAACCTATCTAGTTTAGTTGTGTGAACTATCTCTGTGCTCTATGCAAGATGCAACTTTTCCTATGGTCAGCTGATTTCCTCATTTTTCACTTGACGCTCATGCCATTGAAAACTGGAAAACACTGTACAAAGTCTGGTGAAGATTTGAACCTCTTTGTTTTTTGTCAAAGTCGAAGTTGCATGCCTGTCTATGCTAAACTCAGAAATGTTGAGATCAATCATTGTTCTGAATATGAGTAACGCCATAAGATTTGAACTCATAAACCAAACAGGCTCAACCAAAGCAAATGCTCATAATGAACAGATGAAAGTTTAAAAAATCTTTCCATTTCAGTTACTCTGATTTTTACCAGAGGCATCTCAAAACGATAAGCCCAAAATCTTTCTTGCGGTAATAGTTGAAAATATAACACATAAAACAACTTCCGATGCATAACGTCTGTCAACTCCAATACACGTATGAACAAAATAGCTTCTATTGTTAAAAAATGCACACTGTAATAGGATAAAACACAGGTAGTTCTCCTCTATTGCACTGTTTAAGACATAAAGATCACAATTTGGTTGCCATGGTTATCAATTGATCTAGACCTCCAGTTTTTAAGTCCTGTTTGACAAGATCATGTCCACAGCCTCCGTGACATTCTCTACAACCACCTGCCCATCTGTTTCCAAAGCTTGTCTTGAAGCAATGCCAGTCAGGACTCCTGGAGAGAAAAAAAGGGAATTTCTTGTTTCAATTGTGGCATTTCATTAGAGACTTGTACTAGGACTCAGGATGTCCGGAGAGTTAAAATAAGATGAGCACTGGCAATAGAAGGATACATGTGTTGTACACTGCACTTGATTAGGCATAGTCTTTAAACTTGGCATTAAACAAGGTTTTCTCCACTCATAATTGCAAGGTCTAGTTACTAGTTCAAACACTTCTAAAAAATGGCCAAAGCAGGTGGAAAATTTCCTACCTATTGCACAGCCAAGTTTTGCATTTGTGCCCAGTTGAACATCACAAGGTGAATCCCCAACCATAATGGCATTTTTGGGCCAAACGTCAAGTTGAGCGCAGATACTGTAAGCCGACACTGGATGTGGTTTAGCAATCATCCCAATATCATCACCGCATACCACAGCATCAACCAGCTTTGACACACCCAGCATATGAAGAGTTCTGAGAGTAACTGCACGACTGTCTGAGGTGTTGATGGCTATCTGATAGCCTCTACGTTTGAGTCTACGGAACATGCCTCTCACATCACCAAGGGGCTGAATAACTCCTGACTTCAGGGAGCTACAGGCCTCTAAGCACTCATCTACTATTTGGTCTGCCTGGCATTGAGGAATGCTGCCCACTTTCTGCAGAATGGATGACAGACAGTCTCTTATCATTTCGACGGTCCCTTCACCAAGGACTCCAGGTAGAATTTTTCCAGCTTCATCGTCAAAAGAAAGTGCACCAAAGGCTTCAGCCGAGATGGCAAGATTTGTCTTGGACTCAATACTGTACAGACATGACAGACAAACCAGAAATTCAGAAAGAAATAATTCAACTCCAATACAAGAAAGCTGGGGGGCATTTAACATAAACTGACAACATCCAAAGTCCAATTTTTCATCTAAGGGTATACATACCTTGCTATAACCTTCCTAATCCAGGGTGCCCACTGCACATGAATGTTTATAAGGGTGCCATCTTTGTCAAAGATGACCACCTTCTTAACTTTGTTCATCCTCCAACTGAACGACTTTTGGCTATGTGCTGACAGCACAGGGATAAACTCAGAGAAGCAGGTTGGTAACGAAGACATTGCTTGTATTGATGTGAGATGAAGCAAGTGACGGACAAGTCAAGCAGATGAATCCAATATCTGAAAAGTGTCCAAAAATGCATTTCTGTTGATCAAACGACTGGCAAATTAAAAGGGCTTGCCTGGCATGACTAGCAGTAGCAAATGCCAGGCATTAATAGATAAACCTGCAGTTATGGGAGAAAAACATAAAAAGATGAAGGAGACAACATGGGGCCTATGACATAGGCCGAAATGAGACACTTCTTCAGACAAACGTTTGGTTTTATTATGTTGTAGACCTAACCATTTAGACCTAGGCTGCATGTAGTAGGCTAGTGAAGCACAAGATCTTAGGTTTTCCACGTCATAATTTAACGAGTTCATGATAGGTAGTAGTAATGTGGTGAAACAGTTGTACATGTAATAGGTAAGTGGTCCAATATAAACAGTGTCAGTGAGAGTCGCTGTATAATTCATTTCAATAGAAAACTTCATCTACATGATCTGGAACAAATCGGATAAGAAAGTCCGGTTGGCTACCCTCCCGCCCCGGCCGGGTCCCCGGTGCCGTGCATTTACGCGCGCCGCGCCCCTTGTGCACCTAGCTGGGGCCGTGACGCCTGATTACCAGAGACTCTGTCTTTCTCTACTCACCTGTCGTCCAAGACACTTGCTGTGAACTTGAGCAGAAAGAAAATAAAACTACAGCTCCCCACCAACCGAAGTTGTACGATGCACCTGGGCCATCAACCTTTCAAGTTACAGATGCTGCCAACCGGCTGCCGCTCTGATGTATACTCTGATGAGCTGTGCTGTGACAAAGCCCACAACAAACGCGTCCTCCACCGGCATTTTTCATTTCACGACTGATCCATGCGCACGACACGATCCAGTGTACTACTATAGTCAGATATCTTATTTACAGAAATAGTTGCTCGGTCAAAGGTGTCAGGATACAGGCTACCAGACTTTCGTCAACTGTGCATGTGACAGCCACGAGGGAAGTATTGAATGAATCTTCCGTGCCCCATCTACTTATTACAATGTAACTCTAGTCATGCACGAACTGGTAGGCGGAAATCCGGGGGGGGGGGGACAGGGGGCACGTCCCCCATGGATGTGGTACTTTATTTATTTATTTGATTTCTCGGGGGAAAGGACAAGTTATAAAACGAAAAAAAAAAAAAATCAACAGAAAATGGAAAAATGTCAGCCGATGCCCGAAGCCTCGGATTGCCCAAAAGGAACACAGTAAATTTCTGTCCAGGGGCTCCCCACACCGGCTGACAAGACATAAAAAACAAAATTTACATATATTAAAAACCAACAAGTCTACAAAACAGTCATATATATAAAGCTATCCCCAAATAGGTTATAAAAATACAAAAAACAAACCAGAAAAGAACTTTAAAAGGCATCAAAATACAACAATGTATGGGGACATGCAACAATGGGGACACAATGTCAAATGCCCCCTCCATATGTCAAGCCCAACAAAATACTAAAGGAATTGATGGATGGAGGATTTTGCCTTTTGAGTTTTTATAAGTGGAATAAGATAATAAACACGGTGTGCACAAAAAGTGTAAATGGATGCCCCCCCCCACGATCGACTGAGGAGAGATTTCCGCCCATGCACGAACTGCACCACGCATTCCTTCCTCCATGACTAGATTGATTGATTCAAGCTTACTCGATTATTTTATTGCCAGTGGCAGCGGAGTTGGATGCCCTTAGCTCACAGTTTTTAAGTCAACTTTTTCTACTCTCGGCATGTGCCATTGGTTAATCGTTTGTCTTGTGTATTGTATTGTTCTGTATTGCATTTTCTGTTTCGTACATGTATTGTTTGTTTTGCGTTATGCCAAATAAAATAATAATAATTCTCTGGATAGAATCTGAAAAAAATCGCACCAATGTTATAGAAGTTCAGACCAGATGCCATGACTTGAATTCAGATCAAGTGAGGTCGTCTGTCGGTTAAGGACCGTTCAAGTTCTGGTTTGTTCGCGATCTAAGACCGGGAAAAAACGCCACATATTACGAAAAGCCAGGGCATTCAATTCCCGCTCCACTTTTGACTTTTTGTTAATACATCTAAATCTTATTGGGTATTTTTAAGGTAAAAGCCCCCACCGTCGGTTCGATCTGCACGGGAAAGCCAGACTGTTTTAAAGAAGACGCAAAGTGGCCAGCAGATTTTTAAAAACTTGACTCGGAGTCCATGACCCAAAGCACCGACCGGAGTGACCCCATCATTCCAAAGTAGGCCCCTACCCACTGAGTTGCGGTGCGTGACGACTCCGAAAAAGTATAGTCAGCATTTTTGTGACTGCTGGGATTCGAATTAATCCACAGAGTCATTGAAAGTCATGCAGTCATGGACACACAACATGGATCATGAGGCTAACAGTACTGCACAGTTTTACAAGTGTTAAAATTGTTCTTAGAAGGAGTAGCAGCTAGGTCTACGGATTTTGTTTCAATAAATAATAACAGCTCCACCTCAAACCGCTCAGCGGCCACGGCGCCGGCCTTGAGTGGGTCAAAAAACAGAGGGCGCAATTTTCCTAGCAGCTCCGGTGGTCCTGAGTGGTTCGTGCACGCGCGCTCGCACTAGCGCTGCGTTCAGTTTAGAATGGACCTTTCCATAAAATACAAATAAGGCAAACGCATTGCTACCACTGGTCGGGAAAGTTACAATCTCCATAGGCCATGCGCGCTGAACTATGAACACACAGGCCGTTTCTGCACTAATTTAAAGGCCACTTTACTTGACCGGCAAAGTTAGTTCTTTGCTGAGAGACTTCGAAGGCGCACGCTTTATCGCGCACATCTGTGTATTATAGAACGCTAAAAATTATGTGACTGAAAACTCTCCATAGTTTGACATGAGTACCAAATTGAAAGACAAAAAACTGTTATTTTCAAACCATTATACAAAAAAAGAAAAGGCAAAAGTCTGTTGTGGGGGGGGGGAGAAACGGCTCCGGAGCTGCTAGGATAATCCCCCCCCCCGCAGCGCGCACACGTCACACACACACATGCATTGGCGGAGTGGGGGCCTGTTCTCGGACACTGGTTTCTTGCTCTCGCACAGTGTGTTTCTCTTGTGCGAATTGAAGCGATCGACTGCGCGGCCATCTTACGCCATTCAGTACAATGGCATTTTCCAAGTCACTGGCTTTAGCACCGTGCATGAATGCACTTTAGTGAATGGACTGAAGTTGGAGGCCATTGTATTGAATATCCAGTGATGGCCACTGCTGAGCTGCCTATCCTGTGTATAAGGGTACAGTCCACTAATTCAAGCCCCATTGAAAACAGTGTAAAATCAGCACTGTTCAGGGCCCAAT